ATTTGACCGACCCTCTAACCAGAGAAGCCAAAATGTACCTTTACGAAGGATTTTGGTGCGCTGAATTCAAATCTGAGGTTCAAATTTCTCAATTGGCTCTGATTTTCGAGATATCCTAATCTGAAAGTGTTAAAAATCGGGATTATTTGACATATTTGAGGTTATGTTACATGAATAAGTATTTTTTTTTCTAAAACCTTTAATGAGGTCTTAAAGTACTACGATTACTCGTTAAAACGGACGTGGATATATCCCTATTTCATTTTTCGTCTTTGAGATATCGCATGTTGAAATACAGCAGTTTGACTTATTTCTCGATTTTGATTTTTCAAAATTGCAAAAATGTTTAAAAATTTTTAAAATATAGCTATTTTATCTGAGTTTTTTACTTATATCTTTGAAGCTATGCATTTTGGAAGAATATTGAAGAGGAAAAAAGTTTTAGAATTGAATTTTGCACAATACACTGTAAGTCAAAAATGTTTAAATTTCTTACCGATGTTGCAAAATAGCAATAATTGATGAAAGAAAGGCAAAATAATCAAATTTCGTGGATAATTTTTGTAAAATATTTTAATTGCTCCGAGGGCATTTTAATTTTGGTAAAAAAACTTTAGAGTATAATAAAACAACACACAAACTTTCATTAAAATCGGTTCGATAGTTTTCGCAAAATAGTTTTTTGAACAAAATTTTCGAATTTTCAAAATGTTGTACAGCCTCAAATAAAGCATCTAGATACTTGAAAAATTTTTCGCATAGAAAAGACCGCTCAACCTTACAAATGGTTTTTGAAAAATTGAAATCGGTTGATTAGGACGGCCACAGTAAATTTTTAAAGATAACATTTTTTTATATAAACAATTAGATTACATTTATCAATTTGCAATTTAGTTTTTTCCAAAAATTTTAATTTGAAAGTACTCGGAAAGACGCTTCTTAAAAAAATCGAAATTGGTCCATTAGAAGCCGAGATGACTAAATTGCAAATTGATAAATGTAATCTAATTGTTTAAAAATAAAAAATAAAGTGTAAACTTTAAAAATTTACTGTGGCTGTCGTAATCAACAGATTTCAATTTTTCAAAAACCATTTGAAAAGTTGAGCAGTCTTTTCTATGTGAAAAAATTTTCAAGTATCCAGATGCTTTATTTGAGGCTGTGCAACATTTTGAAAATTCAAAAATTTCATTTCAAAATTTTTTTCAAAAAATTATTTTGCGAGAACTGTAGAACCGATTTTAATAAAATTTAGCGTGTTGTTTTATTATACTCTAAAGTTTTTTCTACCAAAATTAGAATGCCCTTGGAGCAATTTTAAAATATTTTTAAAAATTATCCAAAAAACTTGATTATTTTGCAATTTTTCATCAATTATTGCTATTTTGCAACATCGGTAATAAATTTAAACATGTTTAACTTACAGTATATTGCGCAAAATTCAATTCTAAAATTTTTTCCTCTTCAATATTCTTCCAATTATTCAATGATTGCAATTAAGTGCCTTAAAAATAACGCAGGATTTGAATTGTTCGCCATTTTCATTCCGAAGAGTTGGCAGCATTGTGTAGAATCACACATTGAGGTTGCTAATTTTATCGGAAACAAATGCCACATAGCACCAGAGAGAATTAATTACAATAAGATTATAGAAGTGGTAGCCGACAAAAAAATTTATGGACTTGACAAAAAAATACCTTTAACAGACCCACCTGGATATTCGCTTTAATTCTTATATATCTAAAATCTAGAATTATCGCTGGAATAAAATACAGAGATGATTGTCGGGAGCACTTCAAACTGCTAAATATTCTTACAATGTCGTCAGTTTATATATTTGAATGTCTCATTTATATAAAAAAATAATCAGAATAGATTTGTTCGACAAGAAAGTTTTCATTTTCATCATACAAGAGAGCGACACAATATTAGGCCTAAATTTCATAGATTAGCGAAATCCAGAGATGGCACAAATTATTTTTGCATTAAATTTTTTAATAGACTTCCATCTGAGATTCGATTACTAAATTCAGACTGTTTTAAGGCCAGAATTAGAAAATATCTTAAGAGAAAAGCGTTTTATAATTTTGATGAGTTCCTTGCTGACCAGTTTTTAGATATTTAATGTATGTTCGTAATATTCACTTTTTTATGCTGTTTACGTTATATTTATCTGAATGTGTTTTTTAGCTTTAGTGTAGTATTGCTTATATACGTTGTATCTTTCGTGTTTTTCTTTGACTTGTGTAAGCATTTTAATGTATAGACACCAATAAAAAAAATCTTTCTATAAAGTGAATCTTTACTGCCTTGTTACATAAATATCAACATAAATATTTTTACTTTCAGGGATTACTTTTGCGAGTCATTTCTGGATGCGATAATGTACTCAAGGCATCACATAAATTTGTGCAAAATTGTTTTGAACTGAAAGCATCTTTCCCCTTGACATCCAAGCCAGCTGAAGAGATAGACAAGTTGCAGGCCACATTTAAAGTGCAATCGAATATTAGCGCTGCTGGATTTTTCGAGATAAATAGATCTCTGTTGCTTTCTATATTTTCCACCGCCACTACTTATTTGATCGTCGTAATACAGTTTAGATCTGTCTATTCTGTACAATAACAAAATTAATTTAAGCGTAGCTAACGAATAATTGTTGCTAAAATGGCACTTGCACTGTATCCAACCGCTTTATATTTGTTCCTACATAGCCATAAGTAGTATTCTCCACAAAGTGGTCGGTTGATAAATATTTATGTCTAATAATAAAACATAAATAATTTGAAAGATACAGAAAATCAAGCAACTTCCAAACTGCTATTTAAAAATGGAAGAAATACTATGCTGTGACAAAATAATTATGTTCCTATCAAGAATGTTTTAACACTGGATAAATCTTTTTTCCGAGTAGATGTTTGCTTGATATATAATTGAGACATAAAACTGTGAATTCATATAAAAGTGGTGCATGTTTATTGAAGGCGAACGAAGACATTTGATTAACACACAGCAAATTTAATTAAACAAATTATTTCTGTTGCCATAGCAGCAATAATTCTCTGTCAACTACATTCCATATCGTAAGTACGTTGTATTAACATCAAACAAATTACATCTACATTAGCTTCTACACTACTCTTAATGATTAAAATTGGTTTGAGTCTCTATTCACATTACCCTCTTAAACTATGAAGTTAACACATGAATACAGTCCAAGAGATATACTTTCTCTGCAATTTATATCGCGAGTGGCAACTCTCTTTGGAATTGCTCCAAGCTATGATTACAAAAACCGAAAACTGTGTTATAAAAGATTGTATAGATGTTTCACATTGTGCAGTGTAAGTTTTGTAACGATTTGTTCAGCAGTGTTTCTGTATCAACGTTTTATTATATTCGAAGTTGCTCCTATAACGTTGAGAGTAATGGATTTTATGATAGACGTAACAGGAGTAGTATTTTACGTAAACTTGTCACTGGGTTCATCATTTTGGAACTTGAAGACCTATGACAAGTTGATAAATCAGTTGTCTAGATTGGAGGGCCCAGCAAATTTAAATACCAGAGGAATAAGAAATAGTTCCATAAGAGAAAATCGATTAGTGTTTTTCATTGGTGGATCTTTCGTATTTGTCACATTTGTTGTGTTCCAGTTTCTGAATAATGCTGCTATTATTTTTCTCTATTATGTCCCTATGTTATCACTTCAATACGTAAAGTACATATCGATAAATGTCATCTATAGCGTCACGTTATCTATCAAGAGCAAGTATGAGGATCTCAACAGTATGCTTCTTGTTAATACCTCCATTACTACTACTCCCAAAAATGCAGTTAAACTCATGAAGAAAATTAGAATACTTTACTTAGAAATAAATAGTGTTATTGATACATTCAATTCGATTTTTGGTTGGCCAATGTTATTCCTCATAGCACAGTCGTTTATACAAATTCTAGGTTGTGTATCGCTTATAACAACGCATGCCTTTCGGAATACTATATTTCCTCAAATAATAATTGGGTATTATTTTTTTGGAACTGTGGTAAGTAAAATTACTTAAGTTAAATACTCGACTAAATAGCGTTCATTTGATAAATAATAACCGCAATATAATAAACAAAGTTGCCAGCGTTGCCATTTTAAAGTTCTAACACGTCTATTGGATTGGAAACCCTTTGGTTGGGATGACATTTGATTTACATTTAATCTGTATTAACATTCACATTTATTAATGTATTTGTAATTTGTTTGGTTGAAGTAATTGATTTCCATAATAATGTTTTTTAAATTTACCCTAAGACATTATTTGTCTCTTAATGTAGGTACTTCAAAATAGAATGATTATGGCAAAAAAGACAGACTAGAAGCTTCACCAATAAACTTTTTAATGTCACTCTTATACAAAAATTATACTCGAAGTAACCCTTTTACTGTAAATTAAATTTAGAAATGGATATTACTTGCCAGACTACAAGTCACAGATAGCAAACTATTTTATGGTACCCTTACTAATACTGTCGATATCTTATGAAAAGTACTTTTCAGACAGTCAAAAATATCTTTGTTTTTAGGGATTACTTTTGCGAATAATTTCTGCATGTGATAATGTACTCAAGGCATCAGACAAATTCGAAGAAAATTGCTATAAATTGAAAGCATCTCTCCCCTTACGATCCAAGCTGGCTGAAGAAGTAGACAAGTTGCAGACCACATTTAAAGTGCAGTCGAAGATTAGTGCCGCTGAATTTTTCGAGATCAACAGATATTTAATGCTTTCTCTATTTTCTACCATAACTACTTACATGATTGTCGTAATACAATTTAGATCTTTATATTCCTTACAGTTACAGTCTCAAAACGTGACTAATGTTGTAATAGGTTCAGAACAATGATAATACTTGCAGTTTTTCATCAAACATCCATTAATTCAAAACATGAAATTTAGAAATTGAATAGTATACATTTTTATTTAATTATTATCACTGTCGACATAGGTTTACAGTGTCATATTAAATTGTATAATAATAATTAGATATGTGCTAACAGTAGAAAAAAGTGTTGGTAACACTGATTGATTTATTGTAAAGAATCCAGCTGCTGAAAAAGTAGGTGCCAGTTCTTTTGTGATTTTAGTAAACAGAACCAACTCTTCTTTAAGGGAAGACTTGTCTAGTGGTTCTTGATGCAGAAAGCAGATTTTGCCAATTTGCTTCCCGCTCTGCTCCACTCCGTCACAGGACATTACAATCACAACTGTAGAAACCTGAAAAATGTTCAGCAAGTCTGAATAAATATGAGTATATCAATTAACAATTTGTGCCTAATAATGAAACAGTCCAGGGAACCAAGGGTTATATGGTGCCGATGGGCGCTTTTGCCCAGGGGGTGGAAGCCACCCCTTCTAGGGGGTGAAAAATAAAATATTGAAAATAACCCTGATAAAGCAATCAATTTTAAGCAAAAAGTATCTTATGAACATTTTTCGATAAGTCGATATTTTCTGAGTTATTGGTGATTGAAAATGTACATGTTTTACTAAAAAAAAGACGTTTTTCTGTAGTTTGTCTCGAATAACTCGGAAAATAGACATTCTATGAAAAAAAACCGTTTGATAATTTCATGTCCGCCACAAACTAAATTGGAAGCATTTAACGTAAAATAACTACAAAAAATTATATTTTTCAAGAAAAATGCACAGGGCATTTTTTAAAGTACTTAAATAATAAAATGAAAAAATGAACTTGACTTTAAATCATTTGCATAAAAATTAACAGAGTTATGATCAAAATAAAACTGTTAATTCGCTTTTTCGGAAAAAAATCAGTACAAAAACTGATGAATTTTTCACGAGATTCAAAATTAAAGGTAATCCTTCTATAATTTACATTATTTATGTGCTAAAAATATATTATACAAGTTTAAGCGGTTTAAAATGCATATTTTTGAAAATATTACGTTTTTATTGAAATTTTTTTAATTCCAAAAAATATAACATATTTTTGAAAATAACTTAAAAATGAAAAAGATACGAAAAATATTCAAGAGTACAAAAATTTTGTTTTTTTTTTACAGAATACTTAAGTTTTTTTTTATTTGTGTAGGATGAAAATTAACAGAGATGTCGCTGCTAGAAGTTTGTAATTAACATAATAAAATAATATAAGTATATAAGTATATTTGAAAATTTGAAATTAATTATGATTTTTGGCATATAAAAAATAATGAGAAATAATTATTTTGCATATTGCATAAATTAAAGTAAATCACCAGAAAGTTGTTACGAAAAAAATTACTTTACATTGTTTATTGGATTATTATATTTTATCATTGGGGGTGGTTTTTAAGGGTTAAAACAATGCGATAAATTGTAAATTGTATTATAATTATATAAACAGGTAAAAGAATTTAATTTATCCTGTTTGTACTATCAAATCATTTTAAACTGTTTTTTAATATCTTCTTATTAGGGGTAGTTTTTTAAGGGTTGAAATATTGTAATAAATTATTAATAATACCATAAACTATTGAAAATATTTCTATCTATAATATACGCCGAGATATACGCGCCATAAAAGTATTTTAAGGTCAAAGAAACTGTTAATTTTATATTTTTATCATTAAGGGTGTTTTTTAAGGGTTGAAACTTTATAAAAATAACGTAAATTATAACCCACAGTTTAAAACAATATTTATTCTATATATGAAGATATGATTTTAGTTTATATAGCACCTATTTTTATATTTACCTATTCAGTTTTTTAGCATAAGGGGTAATTGGATGGCGTTATGCAGAAAGCTACCAACCCACAATAGTGACAAACCGAGATAATCAACTCTAAAGTTTCTATTAATTTAAAAAATCTATAGGATGTTTAAATACTACTTTGTAATTTTCTTTTGATTCAAGATAGGTCTTTTGATATTTTATATATGTTTAAATATTTTATATACAAAATAAAGGTAAAAATGGCGACTTTTTGTGGGTTGGTAGGTTTTTGCATTTTGCAAAACTGGGAACTAATACCAATAATTTTGAATTAAAGCAAAAGTAGTATGAAAAATAATTATTTTTATTTATCAAAAAACAAGATAATGAAATTCCAAACTATTAATTTTATAAAGTTTTTATTTTATTCTACATCGTCCACTTCAAAATCTAAATCTTCAACATTGTAACCCTAAATTTTGATAAAAAGGCAATGCATCTGCAGGAATAAGATGCATCATTTCCTTTAAATTCTGCAATTTCGCATCAGCGATAGGCTTTCCGTTGGGCCACAGTGGTATTAAGTCACTAAAAATTTCTTCGTTACCAGGTCTACCTCGAGAAGATTTTTTGATCGAAATTTTTTGATAGGGTTGTGAAAAATCATGTTGCTGTATCATTAGCCGAAATGGCTCTTGTTTTCCTATTTTGATTGATTGTAATTGATATTTGCAGAAAGCTAACAATCCACTTGAGTGCATCTGGCACTATATTAAAGTAAAACCAAGTGGGTTGGTAGGTTTCTGCAAATTATAAGTATAATACCAAGTGGGTTGGTAGGTTTCTGCAAATTAAAAGTTTCGACAAAATACATAATGTGGGTTAGCATTTTATAGTTTTATAGGGTATATAATTTATTGAGGCTTGGTAGGTTTTTACAGAATGCAGAATGCGTATTTTATTAACCAAATATGCACCTAACTCAATATCTGGTATATTGTGGGTTGGTAGCTTTCTGCATAACGCCGTCCAATTATGCAGAGTGAAATAAGCTTAATTCCTAATTTCATAAAAATCGGATCTATCCGAAAGTATTCCGAGATTTTACCCTATTTTTCTCTTCGTTCCCTGGACTAACAACAATATATTTTCGAAATAGTACATAAAAAATAAGGGTGCCTTTTTGAAGTACCTTTTTTACAAAGACAAATAATAAAAGAGGCATACTTTAAAATAGGATTGTGGATACGACAGGAGAATAAGGCACCTAAAGTAAAAGTTGACAAATAAAGAACAACGCAGTTTCGGAATTAAAATGCTAAAGTAAAAAAAGAACATTCAGCAGTTTTATTTCAGTTAATATTGGATAAAAGTGATTTGTATTCCGAAACCACCAACATGATAAAGAAAGTCAACAAACAAACTCTAGTAAACAAGTTATTAACGACTCCACTTAAAAATAATGAATTTGCATAATATTTGAGGATAAGCAGTAACCAACATCTTTTTAATGAATTTAGTAATTAATTGTCGTAACTGATCAGTTGTAGATTTTAGTATCCTTACGAGATTTTTGCACACACGCATTTTCCATAAACCGTTTTTAACATTCGTTTACGGTATAATCTCACTATTTTAATAGAATCTATGCATTATAGTAAATAAAGATGTTGTTAGTATGTTATTTATAACCACTTCGTATTTCACAACAATAATTACTAATTGTATTTATAGTTATGATTATATCCTAATAAATATTCATTTAATCAAGTAATTATCATGTTATTACTGGGGTGGATAATGAAAATGTTGATTAACCCTTCTAGGATAATTTACGATACAGTTTACATGACTGACTGGTTATAAGACAATGATCCAAGTATTACAATTGAAGAAGAAACTTACAATATAAACCATGGAACAAACCAGGTTGGTAACTAATGCACTTATATCCAACTCGCCAGTCTGAGCGTGGCTGAGGACACTATTTATACTGTTCAAAACTTCTAGTACAGTACACTGTAAGATAAAAAAAATCTGCCATCCAAAGATAGCGTTGAATTGCTGCACAATGCTGTACAATATCTTGTACAAACCGAAAATATCGTTCAGATTCCAATTCAACCTAGTTCGAGTCAAACATGACAAAGTGTTTCCAATAATGGTCTCATTGAGAATCCCCAGCAAATAATCATATCTCCTTCTCAGCATCCTTGTAATCTTGCAAATGAAGATCAGCTCGAACAGTTGATAGTACAGACCGATCCTGCAGATAATGTAGGTGTATATTGCGGAGGGACGACCAGTAGTTATCCAATCGTAAGACTCATATATGTGTAACAACAAGAACATGGCATGATAAATGATCATGTTGATGTTGTTTAACAATAAACTTTTCTTCACTTCGAAATCAGTGTGGTTCAGCTTGCTTTCTATTTCTCTTATACGAATGAATAACAGTTTCCAATTGTTGCTCTTAGTTAGTGCTCCCAATAAACACACCGTGACGAAAATGGTTTGCGAAGCACACTGGCCTATATCGATGATCGTTTCAGTGATTTTTTGCTTTCTATATAAATGCTCCCTTCTTTCTGTAACAGTAACGACACATGACGTCATGAAAACTGTGGTTAGCACAACCGGATAAACTTTTGATATCATTATCCTTTTCTTGCAGTTCGTATCGAAGAAAACTGGCGTTATACCCAGAATGTTACCCAATTTGAATTGTTTGAGTAGAATAAAAATATCAAGCTTCGGATTGTGTTTCAGACCCCACATGTTTTGGTAGTTCGGAGATAACTGATATTATGTAAATTATGTATTATCAAAAGCAGATCTGCTTTGTTGTGTTTGGATCAATTCATTTGTAGCCGGAGAATAGATTAAAAGATATTTTTAATTAAAAATATATGTGCGATCAGCTCGTTCTGTCCACCAAATATATGGGATATCAACTGATAAAGATTCGGTTACTGACTGGCGAGTTGCATATTTTTTCTACGACGTCATTGTAATGACAACAATTTCTGTCTGTCTGTAACAATACCGGTGGATAACATTGTAGACGTTGATGGAGTAATGTTTATTAAATTTTTGCTTTGGCCATATTCAATCTAATTCAAAATCTCACGTTGACTTTATTTTTTGATAAAAAAGATGGGGTTATACAGGTTTTTCGTCGGAGATTCATATATGTTTTGCATATTTCATAAGGTTTTGGCAGAACTACGAATTCTCGCAAAGTTGTAAATCAAAATCATTAACTTTAAATTTCAATTTGTGTAGCTCATATTTTCTACAAGCCTCTATAATAAATTGTTTTTTCATTTGTAAAATTTTTAGGAATTTACAAAGTAACCAGTAACTAGGAACTATCAAAGCGATGAATAATGTACCGAATTTCTTTCAAGTATAGTGTAGAAAAAATATTATTAGGTAAATGGAACTTCACAGAAAGTATTAGTATAAAATATTAAAACTAATATTCTTTACATCCCGTAACAGTTTTCATATTTTAATGTGGTGAAAAAGGATATACTGCTAGCATACACTTTAATACAATTTAATAGATGCACTGTCAGTTATCGATATACTTTTCGACCATAACTAACTGAAATAACGTGCTATAGGTATTTAGAACAATATGACGTCAAGGTTTTAGTGGGATAAGGATCAATAAATAAAAGAACACTATATTTTAAATCATTGCCAACGTTTCGGTGTTATTTTAGACCATCCTCAGGGCTCCAAAATACAAACAATAGGCTAGAGCTGTTTTAGAATTTTTCTTTTTCGAGTTTTACGGTAATTGTGACAGGAACAATTTTTTTGAATTATTGTAAATGTATTTGTTTTTTATTTTAATACCTTAACGAATTTTGTTCAAAACATTGTATTTTAGAGCCCTGAGGATGGTGTAAAATAACACCGAAACGTTGGCAATGATTTAAAACATAGTGTTCTTTTATTTATTGATCTTTATCCCACTAAAACCTTGACTTGGATAACTAATCAAGATCGCAAAACAGTGGAAACGTAATATGAAGAATCTCTCATATAGTAGAAAGTATATAAGGTTCATAAACGTTTTAATGAAACTTGGAACATTTTTGGCTGTCATTCCAAATTATGATTTTGGGAGAAAAAAAATCATATGAAGAAATATGTACAGGATATATTCTGCAGTATCTGTTAGCATCTTGGTCAGTGTGACCCGTTTGGTCTGGTACAACAACTTCTTTTTAATTAGTAAAATATCAATTGTCATATTACATGGATTAACAGTATTCTAGGAATGCAATATGATTGTGGTTCTAGCTATTTCTTCCTTAGGTTCCGCTTTTTGGAATCTAAATCGATGGAAACATTTCTTGAATTATTTTTAACACTTAGAAAAATATTTTAACACCGAAAACACCTGGACAAAAATTTGATGAAGAGTCATCATTTTCAACTGTTCCTATCTGTTACATTTTTTATAATAAAATAAACAGTTATATTTACGAATGGACTTATCATTTCAAATGATACATTTTCACTTTTGTTGGTGGAGCATGTTTGTATTTATTTCACCATGTTCGACATTTCGTGAAAATGTTGGTGACAAGTAACTTAATTTTGGCAATTAAATGCAAGCATCAAGATTTAAATTGATTTTTAATTAAGGGGCGGTGGTGTTAATACAGAAATATGTAAAACTAACTGTCCGAAATGTATTCGCTTTATATGATCTAATGGGTGTAGTTATTAGTAACTTTAATAAACTTTTTGGTTGGGAACTCCTGTTGAGCTTTATGCAGACCCTTGTGATGGAGCTGGCATGTTTTACTTGCTTTATGGATTATTTATTCAAATACTGCTCTATCCACGATTCAGCCACCATATTAATATTCACACTGACTTTAACAATGATATCTTTGGTAAGTTGCCCCATTTATTTTTTTTTCTTTGTTACTATTACAAATTTAGCAAAATCCGAGGGACGAAGAACAATAAATACAATGTAAGAACTCTTCGTTAGACGCTGGTGCAATATTCATATGCTTAATCTGCTACACCCTTTGATTTCCCAGTTTGGAATTTTCAGGAAATAAATTGGGTATTATGTATAACATTTTATTGCAATATATAACTTTTAGAAAGATATAGCCAAAATTTGATTTAAAAAAATCATCTTTAGAGCTTTGAATGTCAAAAACAAATGAGAGTAGGCGTACTTAATAAAAAATCGTCCCATTTTTTGATGATCTAATTAAAAAAAAACAGTTTTTCTTGAAACAACACTTGTAAAACTAAAAAAAGATATGTTTATATCAACGTAAACATTGCAATATTTTTTTCTGTACAATTGTTTAAAACTTCAAATGTTTTGATCAGAAAACGGAAGAGTTTTTGCCAATTTTGGAGATGTTATGAACAAAAAAACAATATTCAAGGAGTTCTTAATTAAGGTGTTTCAGCCCCTTAGAAAGTATTTCTCAGCATATTTTTTAGTTCCTTTTAAAATTAATCATCTCTATGTCTACGAGCAGATAGGCAGGCAAATGGTTTTCCATTTAATGAAATGGTGACTTAATTTATTTCAGATTAACATTACGTGTACGTCCGTAATCAAATGTATTTTCAATTCAATCAACTAATAGAACTCCAATAAATTTGTCGGCATTTGTAATACTAGCACCAAATACGTTAGAAGGTTAAGCAATATGAGTTTTACAAGCAGTAGACAGAATTACAATTTTTTACAACTAACTTACCAGTATCTAACTTTTATGGGAATAGCACCAAATTACGATTTCGGCAAAAAGGTTTTTCTTAAACAAAATCTGTATAAGTTGTATTGCTCGACGCTAGCTTTTGTAATAATATGTGCTTTCTTTTGCCAGCAGTACTTTTACTGGGCAAACTTGAATATGACCTACACTGTATTTGCCTTAATTCTTTTTTTGTTTTCTCAGTTTATGATGTATATGTTGTGCATAGTAACTACGGCTAGTTCTGCATTCTGGAACATGAGACACTGGGGGCGGCTGTTTCAATATTTCTGTGCAGTTGAAGACGGTTTGAAAACAGAAAAAGTTATAGAAATGTCCCTGCTGAAGAATTTCCATTTTCAATTTTTTCTAACTCACGTAATTATAATAATGGCTCTAGCAAATTCATTCGTTCCTTGGTTCCTCTATGTAAGCCATCCAACATCACTGATTCTGGTAGTAGATACTTTTTATTTGTACCTGCAGTATATGAAGTTTATTAAAATCACCATAGTGTACAATATAGTTCTTGCTATTAAGTGTAAATATCAGGATTTGAATCGTTTCTTGGTCAAAGCATGTCGCAGCAGAATTTCAGAAATACCTAAATCTGTCGCGAAGGTTTCTTATTTGTATCAATTGACAGGGGAAACTGTTGATATTTTTAATAGACTTTTTGGGTGGGATCTTCTACTTTTCATATTTCACTCTACGTTTATAGTTCTGGAATGCTTCAATTTTACTAAGACATTTTATTACAAAATTGTTAATGAATCTATCACCCTTCCAGTACAACTGCTTGTAAACATCATCATCATGACAATTGTCTCCATGGTAAGCTAAATGCAGAAAAGTATTTACAATTGACTATATTAGGTTGCATTGAAATTGCACTTTGTGAAAAGAGAAACCACTTTTAATCTGCTTCGATTAATATACACCAGTATTACAACATTTTGTTTCTAGTAGCAAACGGGCTCCAGATGATGCGGTTACTTGTCAAATATTTCTACCATCAATACTTTAAGTATGTTACATTCGTAAAAAAAACAAAACGCACACATCGTGTGAATAGATTGTGTGAAAGATTGTGAATATTTCGCATCTACACATCTTCTGTACGATATAACTTTGAAGCAATAATCTGCAAATATTTGACACTATTTTAATAAATGTTTAGCTATGTTAATTCGTCCCATTCTATAAACATTTTTTTTTCAGGCTGGTCCTGTTCTAGTTATGTTTAGCTGCGATTTGGCTGTAAAAGAGGCAGAAAAACTAGGGGCTACCTGCTACAAGTACCAAGCTTATTTCCCAACGTTTTCTGAGGAAAAACAAGAGTTGCTTAATCTTGCGGGTCAAATTATCAACAATAGACCAATTTTCACAGCCGCAGGCTTTTTTGAGGTGAACTGTAGAACCCTTTTTGCTCTACTTGGAACCACTACAACCTATTTTATTGTAATTTTACAGTTCAATCAAACATAAACTGCATCGTTCGTAGCTTCACCTTCAAATACTTAATAGTTGAAAGCACATGAATTATATAACGCATTTCACAAACTAACTTAAAAATTGTGTGAAAAATTATTTTGAAAAGTCCAATAAATGTCTATAAAGCAATACTTTTTTTGTTTCAATTTTTATAGTATCTGTTAAGGAATTTAGAAAAGTAAATAAAGGGATTTTTTTATAAATTTGTTTATCCATTACTGAAGTTGGCGGCAGCAAAGAAAAACGAGACATTTGGAAGCGTTGGATGCGACCAATTAAGAAAGCAAGGTCTCAGGCGACCACTATTGCCTAAGAAGCGTTACAGGCCTCGGCAGTCTTAGAACAAATAGTAAGAATCGAAATCGATATCGATGTGGGGTTCTGATAGCGGGTCCGCCCTCACGGAGCTTAGCCCGAGAATAACAAGGGCGGGGGAAAGATTGCAGGCTAAGGCTAGTACCTAGATAAGAATTGTTCATGATCTGGAATTGCAACAGCCGACCAATCAAATTATCAACAACGAACCAACTTCTGTTATATTAATATAACAATATTTTAATTTTGTCTTTGAATAAATATTTTTTATTAAAGCTCTGATCCGGATTTGTCTAAATAACCACGAAATATCTCGTATACAATTAAATACTGTTCGATATTCAATTTATTTTACGTTTTACTTTTTTAAAATGATTATTTCCATTATCAATATTACCTAACAGAATTGATGATGAATATCTTCATCAAATTTGCCGAACAACAACATTTTTAATCTAAAAAAATGCTTTTACTTCCAACTATTGGAACCTCTTGAGCTAATTGAATAAACATCGTAGCTTCCAGCAGTTTGGAGGTTAAAGAAATTGTTCCTATTGCTTATGTTTAAGTAGAAAATAAATAAATCGATCAGTAACAGAAGAGTATTTCATAAAATTCGTGGCTTACATCTACCACTGTTCACAGCACCATGAAGTATATTTCATACAGTAGGAGAAGTATAAGATTTATGGAACCTATACTAAAAAATGGACTGTTTCTAGCAATTATGCCGAGCTATGATTTTGATAAAGAGAAAATCTTAAGAAAAGTATTCCACCAACTCTACAATTTAACGATTTTTATCATCTCAGTTGGTCTACTTTTCTTTGGTATTTATAGCGCGTTATCTAAAAAGCCAAATGCTTTTAAAATTTTCGAATTTTTGCTGGGCCTTATTGCAGTATGCGTAATGGCGATCGTGTTCGTAGTATCCTCTTTAGGTTCCGCATTTTGGAACTTGAACCAATGGAAATACCTATTCAGAAGTTTTACCCACCTCGAAAGGTATTTCAACACAGAAACAAGAATTGAGAACAGTTTTATTCGGAACTTTTACCTTCAGTATTTACTGTTAAATTTACTGATCATGATTAATTTGGTGACCTTAGTGTTCAATGGACTTAAAGAAGTTTCGGTGGTGTTTCTGGTGTACGCATGCTTCCTTTTCTATATCGTGCAATTAAGAGGAATAATAATGTACAATTTAATTCTGGCAATCAAGTGCAAATATCAGGATCTCAATGATTTTTTAATTAAAAAGTGCATTGCACCCACCGAAGATGTCGGTAAATGTGCTCGAAAGGTGTCTGAGTTATACGGACTGATGAACGAGATAGTTAATAATTTTAACAAGATTTTTGGTTGGGAACTTCATCTCATCGTAATACTTGCAGTTGTCTTACAAGTATTGTCGTTTGACCTTATTAATATGCTCCGTTTTAGAGAAAAGGGAAACGTGAACATCATTTCCAGTCACATAGCGATCCCCTTAATATCAATAGGAATTGTATCCGTGGTAAGAGTCCAGCTTTATCTTTTAAAATTTGTTTAATAAAATAAAGTTGTAAACAAACAGAATATAGTAAAAAAAAGGAATTAAAATACAAAGTTGACTTACAGAAGTAGAAAAGAAAACAAAATATCTGATTAGAAAATCTATGTTTGGGTCAGTTTTTATCCAAATAGTGGATAGCTTTCTTTGTGATTGAAGCAATAAAATATTGCGAAAGCTTATTCGCATAAAAACAAATTAAAACAAAATATATATAAGTTTATTAATTAAAACTAAAAGTAACTAGTGTATTAAATATGAAAACTGTAATATATATTTATACTCTTCAGATTGGTCCCATTTTGATTATGTTTAGCTGCGACTGGGCTATAAAAGAAGCAGGAAAACTGGCCTCCACTTGTTACAAGTACCAAGCGTATTTTCCCACATTTTCCGTAGAGAAACAAGAGCTGCTGAATCTAGCAAATCAAATTGTCAACAACAAGCCAGCCTTCACTGCTGCTGGATTTTTTGAGGTGAACTGTAAAACACTTTTCGCTCTTTTCGGAACCACCACTACGTATTTTATTGTAATTGTACAATTTGAGCAAATGTAAGCAGCTGTGTATTTATTTTTTTATTAAAAACTTGGTTTACCAATCACTTAGAGATGTGTGTGAAATAACTGCTACACTATATTAATAAATATACAAAAGAAACAACTATGAGTTTTGTTCCAACTATCCTTTTAATTTTTTGATTTTTATATTTCTAACTAGGAGTAGGAGGAGTAGGAGTAATTGGAAAAAAATTAAATCCTTTTTAATTCAGTATAAAATTTATAAAGTATTAATAAATAACATTATAATTTGTTCAAACATAAAATTATCAGTAAATTATAAAAAAAATAAAAAACTAGGGACACGTTCCTGTATAAAGTTAAATTATCCTTGATGTACCCGATTTATTACATATAATAAATTTTGTCATACCTAAAACCTTCAGAAATCAAAATAGAGATTTTAAAGCGTTCTACTTAAAAACAGCCAACAGTAATATATTACATTATTCTCCCTTCTACAAGATGTGTAGAAGTTATGATCTACTGTACACTTTTATAGATATATTTAATTCAAATGTTAAACATATCAAAAAAATTTGTTTGTCCTTATCTCCCGCTTCTTAGTTTGTATTTTTTGTATTGTAACATGTATGTATGTATGTGTGTATTTGTATTGTTATTTAAAAATGTGTATATTGATTTGTAAATACATGATATACTGGACATATTCATTTGATGTAACATCTTATTTTTTTTTGTTTAAATTAATTTTATTTTCTTTCTACTACTTTTTTCTTATAACCATCTTTTGCTTACTGTTTTACCTATATACTATGTATTTTTGTTGTATTACCTGTTTATATTGATATATATTTTTTTCTTCTTCTCACTATCTGTAATTAGGACTTGTTCCTGTTGGATAGTTTAGTCTAAATAAATAAATAAATAAAATAAATAAATTAGATTAAGTTTTTCTTATGTATTAGCTTAGGTTAATATATAGTACAGGGTGTCTCAAGCTTTAATCCGAAGATTTTAATAGTTGATAGAAATCATAAAAAGGAAGAGTTTATGTGAACTTGTTTGTATAGCTGCAGTTTCGAGATACAGGATGTTAATGTTAATTCAAATATCTCAAAAACTACTTGGTCGATTTTAATAAAATTAGGCACGATTTTAGTAATAAGTAAGGGGTTAATTTGATGTACCTTAATTCGATATAATTTCAACATTCTAGGTGCCGAGTTGGGGTATGGGCAATGGGCATCGTAACTAGACATTTTAAAGAACAATTTGAGCACTGCACAGTTTTTTTAACATTAATTTTAGATTGGGTAAATCGAAATACAATTGTTTTGTCGCTTGCATTTTTATTATCTTCCTTCTGAACATCTGAAAAGGAATATTTCCGACGGAAGACATTTTAAATACAACATGGTTTAGTGTTTTTTATATCTTATGTACTTTTTGAATTTTAGTTTGAATTATTAAGCATTAAAATGACACACGCCTCCTATGTGTTTCTATTTATTGTGATTTCCAGTTTGAAAGGGCGGTAATTGATAAGAATTTTGTTTTTGCTCAGAAAGTATTAATTTTTTGGAAAAATTGAAAGAGCAAGAAAAGTTTCTAAATTCATAGGGCCACAAAACCGTAATTATCGTTCTCGAAATTTCGACTAAAATTATAAAATATCACATTTTAGTCACACATGTATTCAATTCTGAGAGTGAAGGCAGATAATATTTTATTATAGATTTCAGACCAGGTTAAAATTAAGGACAACCCCTTGCTGATCCCGTGTGGCAAAATACCCATGAGGAAAATTACTCTATATAGCTATATGTTTATACATGAGATGTTGATTAATAACGAATGGACTTTAATAAACTAATAGCGTAGCTACACACAAAACAAACATCGTTGGTGTTTCATTTATTAAGTGAGCTCAACATGAACTTGACATACTGCAGACAGAGAATCCGATTTTTAGAAATTGCTTATAAATGCCTAGCATACATAGCATTTGTCCCAAGATATAACTTTGATAAAAAAATAGTTGTTACATCGAAATTTCATAAAATGTATGGTTCAGCAGTGACCATTGTTGTCATTTTTAGCTACTTGTCCCACCTGTATATTTTGTGGAAAAGTGAACACAACAGATACTTTTCAATAATCCTTATGCAATTTTCGACATTTGCAGCTGTTCTAATATGTCTGATGTCTATTTTAAGCTCGACATTCTGGACTAGCAAGAAATGGGAAAAATTGTTTCAATGTTTCTTAACGATGGAAAAATATCTTGCCGTAAAAGATTGTAAGGAGAATTTTGTATTGAAAAATTTTTTCTTTCAGTTTATTTTAACCAACCTAGTGGTTATAAGTGTTTTGATCAACTCATTTCTTTGTAAGATTATATACAATCCATCTCAAAATTTGTGTGTTGCTGCAATAGAATTATTTAATTTGTTTCTAATACAAATCGCATGTATTAAAATAACTATAGGCTACAATATAGTTCTTGCAATGAAATGCAAATATCAAGATCTAAATCGTTTGCTACTTAGCAAATGCTGTGAACAGCGCTGGGATATGCTGAAAACTATCAGAACTATTTCCTATTTGTATGGAGTATCAGTTGAAGCTATCAGTATATACAGTAAACTGTTTGGTTGGGAAATATTTATGTCGATTGTACTCTCGACCGCAACAGAAACAGCATGTTTTAATTATATTACAGATTTATATTTTAAAAGAATACCTGGAGTGACGACAATTCAATCGGTACATCTACTCTCAAATTTTGTCAGTGTATTCATTATTTCAATGGTAAGTAACAGACAAGTTGTTTTATTCGGCTACTATTCTTCTACAGCATATCCCTTGATCAAAATTAACAATAAACAATTTTATATTGTTACTCTTAAGTAAATATAAGATTAAAATTGATGATACTTCAGTAGACTTAGATATAGAAGACATTTTTTAAAAATAATTCTTAGCAAGTCGTCTTCAAGGTCCTATAATCTTTTGAGTAAAAAAGTAAATCTAGACTGCTATAAGTGAACTATTTGTGTTAATTATGTCTAAGGAACATACTATTTAAATTTGGATACTCTCTATGCATTCTGATTGGAATACATGTATATGATCCCATGACAATCAAAATATAAGATCAGCATTTGTTGACATACTTTTACAAATAATATCTTTTTTAGATTGGTCCCATTCTCGGAATGTTCAGTTTCAAATGGACAGCAGAAGAAGCGGATAAGTTGACAGCCATTTGCTACAAGTACCAGGTCTATTTTCCAACCTTTTCCGAAGAAAAACAAGAGTTAATTAACCTAGCAAACCAAATTATTAATAACAAACCGATTTTTTCCGCTGCAGGATTTTTCGAAGTGAATTGCAAAACGCTGATCGCCCTGTATGGAACCACTGCAACCTATTTCATTGTAATTATACAGTTCAATCAAATGTAACTAGTCCATGATATCTGTATCTAAAAGATTTAATTGTTAAGTGGGTGTGTTTTACTGAAAACAAATGTCTAGTTTTAATTGTACTTAATAAATTTTAAACATCATAATCCAGTTAGTTTTATTTTCTCCTATCTGAAAAATGTTGCAAGAACTCTTTACTTCTGTTATGTTTCATTAACAAGAAATCTTTTACGTATCAAAAAATTGACAAAAAAGCGTTAACTTAAAATTAGTGAATGTGATATGATAACTTTTATCTATCAGAGATGTCAGTTTGTAAGTTGCAAAATTCAGTGAGCTGTTTTTCATGAAAAAAATAAAATAGTCAGCACGGGACATTTCTGTATTATTCCTATAGATTTGTAATATAATACAATAGATGTATAATACAATATAATACAATATATAATACAATATATATAATTAGGTGACATTATAAGTTTTATTTCTATTTTCAATATCGATTATGATAAAATTATTTATATGTGACAGTAACGAATTGTTTAATTAATTAACTACCTACAAATAACTAAATACAAGTTATAGACTATTTATTTCCGAAATAGTATTGTTAATATCTACATTACCTATCTAAATAGGTTTTTTTTCTTCATTAAATGTAATGGCATTTGAATCGCTATGGTAATGATACAGGTCTGGTAAAGACAGTTATTTAATGAAGGTTTTATATTTTACATTTAAATACATGAATAAATTACTTATGTTATGCATTTAAATATATGAGCAAATTACCTTTGTGCATTTGAAACTAAATTGTTGATAACCAGCGCACCGAATCACTGCCAGTGGCCGTACCTATCATTAATGTCTCGCAATCGATATTAGATCTATATAGATTTCTTGGCGGCTACTTTCATACTTTCCTATATACGTAAACATGATTGAAAATGCTGATAATTATTTAAAACAAATTTCCAAATTTGTACTATGTATATTCATTGGCTGATAATATTTTACCGATGTCAGCGCCCTCTCGGGGGCTTTGTGGATAGCATCTACTCTTTTAGTTAGTTGTCTTCCTAGATTTTTACCTTTGGTGTTTTAATTTACATTTGAAAGATAGATGGGGCACGGTAAAATTGAAATGTCAAAAGTTAAATCAGTATTATTACAATCGTATATTTTTATGATGTTTTCTATTTTGTACTAAAATGTCAAAGTTTCAAGTGGTAAAGTGAAATTTTCTCACATAAAATTGTTGTGGAGGTTATGTAGTAGTTAAATTTAAAATACGTATACTGATTCTAACATCGATTAAAGAAGTCGTATAAAACAGGTTAATTTTCATATTCTTCACTTATCAGTCGTCGGATTTTAATTGAAAATGGAAAATTTAAGGTATGTTATAATTATACGTGCGTGTTAGTAACAATTTATTATCTTATATTTAACATTGTTTAGGATTTACATCGCAACATATAATGTAGGAACCAGTGGGCCAGATCAAGACCTACGAGATTTGCTCTCATTAGTAGATATAAAAAATGAAAAACTACCGGACTTCTTTATTCTTGGCTTTCAAGAAGTTAAGGCTCAGCCCCAAAATATGCTCTTAGACTCTATATTCGATGATCCTTGGACCTACGCTTGTAAGGAAATTTTACAAAAAGATTATATTAAGCTGAAGTCTATGCGTTTACAAGGCTTGCTTATTGTTGTGTTTGCCTTAAGAAAACATTTATTAAATGTAAGAGAAATTGAATCTGAGTATACTAGAACGGGATTAGCTGGGATGTGGGTAAGTACTTATCAACAAATATTTTGGTGTATGTATATATCCCCAAATTGTAAAATTTTCCATCTAGAAATTAATAGATATATTAAAGTTCACTATGACCTCACAACATGTGTAACCAGTTTAAAGAAATCTGCAAATTAAAATCTTTTTTTCAATTGTAGTGTTATAAAATTACTCCTATAATAGTCCTCCAGAAATCTAGTTTGTCCATAAACAGTAGGAAATACATAGAATTATTTTTTTAAGTTGTATGAGTTGATATACCTACTTACTGAACTTAACACATTTTTTTCTTTAATTTAATCGTTGATTAATGGTTGTTTATAACTTAATATTAAAGGTATTTAAAAATTAAATATTTAAGTATATAAGATTTTATGAACCTCTAGTAAATAACAGTTTTTGATTAAATTTACATAATATAAAAGTTTATTAGCTTGTTAGTCGCCAAGGTATCTACATAATTGATTTCTTCTGAATATTTCAACATATTTCTCTATTTTTTAATAAACATCCTATTTTGGATTACTTTAAATTCCTCTTAAGCTGTGATAACTATCTATTCATCTGTTAGATTGAGTTGGCTTATTTTTAAAATTGATTTTATTAAAAAATATTCTTATATTCTTGATAGCCTAGGCATTTTAAAACCAAGCATAATCAAGCAATAACAAATAGGTAATAAATATAATTTTAGAGACTATTGTACTCAGATTCTTTAATATTACATAAATTTCATTATATTGATATGTAAACACATATGTATGGAAAACAAAATTGTTGTGTAAGATTGGTGATCTAGCTGTATTTTATGTAATATCTGACTACCACAGTTGATAATCGTTAACGTAAATAAGATTACCTTATTTTAATTATTATTATTCAAATTAATCTAATATGCATATCTATGCAATCGTTTAAAAAAATTGAGATTGATAAAATCATTATGTATAAATTAGTCAATTATTTATCGTCTTACAATATTAACTATAAAAAATAATTAAAAAAAAAACACATGCATACATTGTTTTTGTCATTTTCTAACAAAAAATTATTTTCAATACAGTGGAACCTCAGTTATTCAAGATGGACTTATTTATTTGAGTTTTCAAATACTGGAACTGGTTTAAACAGTCCGAGTCTTGTATTATTTCCTAATTATTCGAATTTTACGACAGATTTCCTGCTCTGAGTGTTACTTATTTGCGATATAGAACAAAATAAGCAAAAAAATGTTATGCCTATTGAACAAAAAAATCTGTAGTATCCAGGTTTCCTGTTATCCAGCATAGGAATTGCCCATTTACCTTGGATGATCAAGGTTCTACTGTACTTGTTTTTTATAGCGATATGATAGTGATTGTGAAGTTTCCAGATCGAAAATTTGAGCCGTTGCATGTTTTATTTTTTGAGGTCATTAATGCTAAGTAAGATATTATTTTAGGGCAATAAAGGTGCTGTCAGTATTAGATTAAGTATTTATGGATGTTCATTGTGCTTTGTAAATTCCCATCTTAGTGCCCATGATGGACAATTGAAAGACCGTGTAGAAGATTACAACAGTATTATTAAGGATCAACAATTCCATGTGGAAGAAACATCGAAGATTTTCTACCACGAGTAAGCAAAACTGTTACTCAATTTTATGTAGTTTTACTCTTATACTTGCCTTTGTCATTTGAATTTTGCACGTTTAGGTACTGAAATTTAACAATTTAATAATAGTTAATAAATATCTACAATCTTATCAGTTTATTAGAGAGGTGGATTGTTATAACGTGTGTAGTTGGATAACGACTGTATAGAATTCAAGGATTAATTGAATGATTGATATGAGTATTTATAGACAAATGACTGAACTATTGAGTTTTGTAGAGAAACCAAAAATAATTGTTTCCTTCACAAAATATTTAAATATTTATTACAGTTTTATTTAGAGCTTTGGCTTTAATTTGATACTAATATTTGCGTAATTCAGATCAACTTAAATATTTAGATTAGTTAAGTATTTTGATTTCCACTTGAGAACAAGCTTCAATATGTTATGCGCTAACCTCAGTGCAAACTTATATAATTTCTAATTTTACTTTTCTGTGAAAAGTTATACAGAGACACATACTAGACTGTAATAAGAAATAATGACATGATGATTCAAATAATAAGGAAAAAATGTGATCTATACAAACATTTCATTTCGAGTAATTGTAATTTTTCATACACATCTTATGATTTTCCTGAGAAATATCGCAGAGAAAATGATTGATGCGTATTTTATTGGTTTATTGTAAATATCCACAAAGCAAAATTCAAAACAAGTATATGAAATAGTTATTTTCAATTTAATTAAACTGTAGCTGTATTTAACTTATTTTCAGTTATGTGTTTTGGATGGGAGATCTAAATTTCAGATTAGACGAGAAGTTTGATAAAACTCCCGATGAAATAGAGAAGGCGATAATAAAAAAAGATCACAAAAAGTTATTTGAACACGATCAACTTAGAAATGTGATGAAGAAAGGGGAGGCTTTCAGTGAATTAACAGAGCAAGATCCCAATTTTCCTCCCACTTTTAAATTTGTCGTGGGAACACCATTCTACGATCATAAGTATGAGTATATAATTTTTATACGGACGATTATCTAAATTATATAATTTTAGGAGACGTCCAGCTTGGTGTGACAGAATACTGTATTGTGTAAATTCCCATAATTATGAAAACGTTACTCTGAAAGTTGACCAAATGTCTTATAGATGTCACCATTCGTATACCCTCAGCGATCATAAACCTGTATCAGCGGAATTTATTATCAAAGTAAGTGGAATTGTTTATTTATCGTCTTCTTCAAGCTTTTAATGTGCTCTTCTTTATTGTAACTAATATTTCTACAACTGCTTCTTTAATCACTCACTGTTTGTTTAAGTTACATTTCGTTGCTGATATTTTTGTCTTGTAGTAATTTGATATTTTTTGGTTTTGTAGCAAAATATAATAGCTAGAAGTATATGTATGTGCAACATATTTTTTTCCAATGATAGCATTGTAGGATGATATTTAACAAGATATCTGTAGAATTTGGTTCAACCGAAATTATTTGGTGTGTCTTTAAATCTCTTTTATTAAATGATTTTCAACATTGTGATGCCATTTTATGAATTTTGCAGAACCCCTGAAGGGCTTTCACGGATTTTAGCACAAAAGTACTGCTAGTATTAAAGTCGTGAAATAGAAAGTAATATTTTTGTTTTAAATTGGGTGAACAATTTGATAATAATTGATTGTTTATTTGTCGATTGGCATTAAAACGAAAAATTTTAGCAGCAATTAACTTTTTGCTCATATCACTTTTTACTACATACTTTCTGACTGTATGTATACTAAGTAAATGAGGTGATATCAATTTTATTTATTTTTTTTTAAATTGCACTTATCTTAAGCTTTTATCAAATAATTCTTCAGCTTCTGCAGTTTGGTGGAACTTAGAATATAGACAACACCAACATTTTTAGAAACTACCAACCCATGTTTGTTTATTTTTTGGGATTAATAGGTGATAGCTCTTATAGAAAGAATAAATAAAACTGTTAGGTACTCATCCATATTTAAAAAAAAATATTTCAACATTTTATTGAGAAAATTATTGTCATTTTGGAGATATACATGACAATTCAGTATTTTATGTAATAGTTGTGTATTTAACTGAAAACATAACAGACTTCAGTGGTGGGAATTAAGTAAGACTCATATTTTCTGTTCATTTAGTGTTATGACCTATTATTTTCATAATTAATATTAAAAAAGAGGCCCCCCAAGAGACTGTGAAAAATATTTAATAATTATGAAGTATGTGGTGGGCCAAGTTGCAACAAACTGACAACGAACTAAATTGTGTAGTATAAACCGAAACAAATTACGAAATAAAACGAAAACAAAGACTTTTCAGTTGGATCTCTGTTGAATACATTGCCATAATAATTGTTGAGAAAATAGTAGGTTTTAGCATTTAAGTGATACAATCTGTTGGTACCTAACAAGAAGCCAGCTTTCGCTTTGCAGTGCTTGTGTTAGTGTAACATTTTGAGTAGAGATTTGACATGCTGCATGTTATTAGATTCCTCAGCAAGTGCATAAATTGGATCGTTCCTTACAAAAACCTGTTGCTCAGGTGTTTTCAGAATATGCTGAACGTGTGATCGAATTCGAAAAGATTGTTAGTTGGAACGAGCGAGAAGAAAACAAGGTAGTCTACAGGGTGACTAAAGATATCTTGCCGACGAAAGAAGATTGGATTGGTCTGTTTAAGGTAATTATAAGACATAAACGTAATTTGTTTTTGTCAAGTCAAGAGTTTTTAAAAAAAAATATTTTTTTTTACAATAATTTTTTACTTTTCGTATTTTTTAAAAAAAGATGCTACACCACCGTCATCTTTTGCAGGATAATTTCAGTTCCTTGGACGACTATATAACTTACGAATATGTAAGCAAATGTGCTAGTCCTTGTCAGGATCGCAAAGGAGGTTCCCCGAAATTGCAGCGGTCCCTCAAATATGAAGTCACCTTCTCCGAGTTGCCGAATCGCTGTAACGGCAATTATCGCTTGGTATATTTCAGTCAAACTGAAGATAAAGTTACCAGTGTTTTGGGGTTAAGCGATCCCTTTCCTATCGTTAAAACTGGCAGTGATTGAATTATTTAGTAGGAATTAGTACTGGTTGGTAATTTTGGAGCTTTGTTATCTTTAAATCAGTCTCGTCGTTATCGGTAATAAAACGCTGAAGATTACCTTAGGATCAACATAATCCAAAGGAACCTTTAATTTTGTAAATAAGTTGCTAATTCTGTTTTAAATATTTCCATTAATGTTTGTCTCACATTTAAAATTTTTCAATTTGTTTTTTTTTAAAGATTTTAAAATTATTTTTATAACTTTATGAAAAAAGTTCACCCTGTATTTTAAAAAAGAAATATTTATAGGCCAAACCTCATTTTCTTTACTTTTATAAAAATAAGGTCGGTAACATTTTGTCAAAAACTTGTTTGTTTCTAAGATGCAGGATGTTGAAATAAAAAAAATTAAAATATGTCAAAATATTATTAATACGCAAAACGCATGCCTGACATATTGAAATTTAATTATTAATAGAATGGAATCTTTCAAAGAAATGTCTTGTATTCTTAGCCACAATAGCAATATCTTACTGTTTTCAGATTTTACTTAGGTTTTTCCTTTCAGTGTGGTCTTCTTGCGATGGAATTAATAAATATTAATAGAATAAAACACAACTTTTTGAAAAAATTCAATTTTTTGCTAATTTCTCTTAATTTTGCAAACAGTCTCCAGAACAACTTTAGACTAGACTGTCTCCAATTTGTATAAATATTTGTTAAATATCTTGCTCTGAGAGTCAGATATCTTTTTTTCAAATTTTTTTTTTTTTCAATTCAATACTGTATCTAGCAACATTTTCATTTGAACTACCCCCTCTTGATTTTCATGGTAGAATATTTGTTGACGTTTCTCCTGTTAGTAACTGAACACTGATTTTATTGACAGATTTTAAAAAATTAAAAATTTATAAATTTTTGATTTTTTTGGTAGTAAATTTTGCCTCAAGAAATTTTTTAAGTGTCTCGTGATTTTTTTTTTTCATCAAATTCGACAAAAAAAATTATTAGTTTGTTATTTATTTTTAGAGGTCGCTCGAAAACATTTTAGGTACACTACTTTGAAAGTTAAAATAGTTATGAGTGACCTTTAGAAATTAAAATATAACATAGTTTTTTTCAACCTAGAAAATGATAAAATAACGAGAAAAAAAGTTTTAAAAAAAACAAATTTTTGACGATTTTGGAAATTTTTAAAAATCTTGAGCGACCTCTAAAAAAATTTTTTTTGAGCTGATTTTTTGAGGGGGCTCTTAAAACATGATAAATTAATATATTTTTGCAAGACGAAAAAAAAAATTTGTTTTTTTTTGGGCCACCCAGTATAAGTTTTTTTTACTGGAAGTCACTTTGCACTGCCAGAAAAACTAAAGAATTTTTATATTTAATGAACAGTGAAAATTTGAGACGAATATTAGAATTTCNCTGTTTTCACATTTTACGTAGGTTTTTCCTTTCAGTGTGGTCTTCTTGCGATAGAATTAATAAATATTAATAGAATAAAACACAACTTTTTGAAAAAATTCAATTTTTTGCTAATTTCTCTTAATTTTGCAAACAGTCTCCAGAACAACTTTAGACCAGACTGTCTCCAATTTGGATAAATATTTGTTAAATATCTTGCTCTGAGAGTCAGATATCTTTTTTTCAATTTTTTTTTTTTTTTTTTTCAATTCAATACTGTATCTAGCAATATTTTTATTTGAACTACCCCCTCTTGATTTTCATGGTAGAATATTTGTTGACGTTTCTCCTGTTAGTAACTGAACACTGATTTTATTGATAGATTTTAAAAAATTAAAAATTTATAAATTTTTGATTTTTTTGGTAGTAAATTTTGCCTCAGGAAATTTTTTAAGTGTCTCGTGATTTATTTGTTTTTTTCATCAAATTCAACAAAAAAAATTATTAGTTTGTTATTTTTAGAGGTCGCTCGAAAACATTTTAGGTACACTACTTTGAAAGTTAAAATAGTTATGAGTGACCTTTAGAAGTTAAAATATAACACAGTTTTTTTCAACCTAGAAAATGATAAAATAACGAGAAAAAAAACAAATTTTTGACGATTTTGGAAATTTTTAAAAATCTTGAGCGACCTATAAAAAAATTTTTTTTGAGCTGATTTTTTGAGGGGGCTCTTAAAACATGATAAATTAAACTAATATATTTTTGCAAGAGACGAAAAAAAAAATTTGTTTTTTTTTGGGCCACCCAGTATGTTTTTTTTTACTGGAAGTCACTTTGCACTGCCAGAAAAACTAAAGAATTTTTATATTTAATGAACAGTGAAAATTTGAGACGAATATTAGAATTTCTTTTAAATGACATCAATTACATCATTGATATTTTTTTCAAGGTAATTACTGATAATATTTCACGTTCGGACTAATTTACAATTTTATTTAATTTTTTTCCTTCTAAGAAATTAGGCAGCTTTCTAATTAAAGTACAACTACCTGTCACACTCCTCCATATTTGATTCAGTTAAGTCGTAGACATATTTATATTATATCCCCTCTATTTGTTACTTTCTTTGAAACTCCAATTTAAGACCCAGCACGGACATCTGATATTTATTGTATACTTATTTATTCGCTTCCTGTGATAGCAACCGAACGCAATCACATAGTTAGGGTTTAAAGTAATTTCTTATATAGCAAATTGCCGGTAAGTAGTGTCTGAAAACTGCAAACTGATGATTTCCTTGCAGTAGAGGAAAAGAACGGTTTATAAAAAAACATGTTTTTAGAAAGCACTAAATATGAAATTGCAATGATCTATTGAAATCTACTGAATTTTGATCCCGAACAACCCCGAGATATTTTTTTATTTCGATGATTATTTTATATATAAATTAGTCTATTGACTTTTTCTTGTACTATCAAAATTAACTGCAGAAAAATGAGTGAATTTTATAATTTCTTTTCAATCTACTCTAAAAAATGTAAACTATCTTTTCAGAAAAATATATGCGTTTTTTTAATTTTTAATAAAAAAGATAACAATTTCACAAAGCGAACGTGATTTTTAATGGAATATGCTTCGTTTCCGAGATACAGTGTTTAAATTTTAATTTTTTATTTATTTTTATTAATTATTTCAGTTTTAAATATATAGACTCGAAATTTGATGGTTGTATTTTGTTTGGAAATATTGACAGCAACCTACTAGATAATTTATCAATAGAAATTAAAAAAGACACAACTTGCAATAAAACGTTTTATTTTTTTCCTACAAAAACAATTGAAGAGACCAATTTTATTCAGAATTGATGTCGGATTTCTAAAGAAATATCAAAACGGGAAAAAGTCAGTGGCGTACCATTTTTTTATTAAAAAAAAGCTGTGGTATTCTCGCAGGAACGCCACTGGATTCGGATCACCCCAAAAAATGCACATTTGTCCCCCCAAAGCCTTTTACAAATTTCGAGTCAATATCTTTAAAATTCTTTGAAATATTTAATAAAAATAAATAAAAAATTTAAATTTAAACACTGTATCTCGGAAACGAAGCATATTTCGACCTACGTTTATATGAACTTTTTTTTATAAAATAACTTCGGCAACCACCCTCTAAAATATTTCACACTTATTTACAAACACCTTGTATAAATATCATGTCGTGTTGGGTCAATTTTGGTTGTACCTATTACAAATTTATTGAAGTGGTAAGTACAATTTCATAGTTTAGATTAGATTGTAGGTACATTTAATACCTCTCACTTATATTTTATTATAAAAATTTATCATTTTACGTATACCTTTAATCATCGGCCAGTTTTATGCTTAAATTAATCTAAGGTAATCTAAATGATCCTCAATTTTATTGCTTTTTGCTATTGCCAAGTAAAAACCTTTATTACTATTGCCAAGTAAAGACCAGTGAATAATGTGTTTCTTTAATAAACAAAGTAGTACAAATAAAATTAATTATTAGTTTTGCTTTTGAGTTCTTACTGATATTTATCATTTAAATATAGTTATCGGATTGTAATAATTATTAGAAGCGAGAAAGACGAACAGTTAAATTTATTTCCTCATACTCTCGCTTCAAATCGAGATTAACAGAATTATGTAAATGCCTATTAGGGATCTTAAGTATTGTATAAAAAATTTATTTTAGGAAATGCTAGTACAATACTGTCTGAAGTTTTGTGAAAAAATTAATAAAATAACTCTGAGACCAAGGTTATTTTTATAAAGTTATTTTCGCCTAATCAAAAATTTTACACTGAAAGAAGTAAACAAATTAGAAATAAAATTACTTGTTAGTATATCACCCAGTTGAATATTTTTTCTCTAATTATTGAAGCACATGAATAAGCAACTTTTAAATTCTCAAACCTGTTTGAAAACCTCAATCATAGTTTTAGAGACGAAAACAGATTGTTTTTCAAGGTGTTAACTAATTGAAGTGTAAGTTTTTTTTTTGGTGTGTGATTTTGTATTAAGAAAAATAATTTAATAAAAATAACCCGAGACTGAAGCTTTTTCATAATTATTTTTTAAAATTGTTCACAAATAAAAAAAAACTGCAATTGTAATATTAATATTCCCAAAATCTGAACTAGGGAGTCGTTTCAGGATCAGGATTCAATCCCGTGATTTCAGGACCAAAAATTGTGGTTGTGGGAATCCAGGATTGGATCTTGATCCCGAAATTTAAGTAAAAAGTGGCGATACTTTTTGTTAACAAAAAAAAAATTATAAACCCATTCTTCAATTACCTGCTTTAATTCAAATCAAAGTTCTTTATTGATCACTTAAGACCAGATTTATTTGCAAAATCTTCATACATACGCGTTCCTAAGATGTTTGGAGTCATTATAACCTGGCTTGAGGTAATAAATAAGAAAGTCAGATACATTTTGGTCACAGAATTATTTTGGAACTTTCAGGATGAATCCTGAGGATTGAAACTTACAAAATGTCCTGGTTTCAGGACTTTAGGTTTTATATATAATAATATAATAATTTTTTGTTGGCAAGGAAATTGAATATATTTGATTTTACAATATCTTCATGCATATGAGATATTTAAATATTTCATTCATTGAAATAGGATCGTATTAAAGAATTATATGTGGCTTTCATTTGCATAAGTTTTATGTTAAGTGCCTTTATCACTGACAGAAATAATTTTTAATCTGCATCTTCACGACATTAATAGTTATGACAATCTTTTAAACAAATGTAAAAGTATGTCTTGTACAACTGCAAAAACTTATTTTCTGCTACAAACGTACTGTCGAACATAGTATTTTTTTGCGTTAATATTTAAATAAAGGAAAACAACCCTGCAATATTACTTTATATATTTCTCTGTATTTAAATGAATTCCATGCCTTTTACTGTAAATGTATAAAAGATGTATACATATTTTATTTTTCTAATATGGAAGATTTAAAGTAATATGGTTAATATTGCTAGATTTAATTCTTGATTTTTTTAAAAATTTTAATATATTTCGTGGTTGTTAATGTTGTGTAATTTTATTTTTTGTTGAAGTAGATATATTTTTGTACAATTTTAATTACATTAAAATTAATTTCATATAACTGGGAATAAGTGTTTTTTTATTTAAAAATTGTTTCCAAGAAGGCTTGATCGGTTTGTCTGTCATTACTGACATTCAAAGAATTTGTATGTATATTCTATGTCAAGTTAAGAATTATTATTTATCAACGAAAAACAGACCAAGATTTATTTTCTTTTTTTAATTTGTGCAATAAAAAATATGAAATATGCATTGATTTGTCTCATTTGACTGATTTTAAATCTATAGACTATCATTTTAGGAAAGTATAGTCTTTCCGATATCAATTGAAGGACCAAGAGGTTGGCATGTACCAGGTTCGGTCGCTGACGCATTGGAATATTTGAAAAACTTGTTCCCATTTGTATTTAGCTATACCCATATACACGTCTGTTCGCCCAGTTGAAGAACGAGCGCGCGGGCAAACACGGCACAAACACAGCCGCACTGGGCGATCTGGCCATAAATTCAGTTATCAACAAATGGCCTAGCAGTGCAGTGCAGCAATGCGGAGTTTGGTGTGATTCAAGTAATTTTAATTTGTTGTAGGCAGCTTCTATTAGTCATTCATATTGAATTGCGAAATAAATTGTTTACTAATATTATTACAACATGGCATTACAATCAATATAATAAAATTATTTGAGGACATAAATAATTAAAATGTGTTGTTGGTCAAATTAATATATAATAGAAATTTTCTACACATTATATACAAATTATTATTATGTTTTACCTTTAACAGAAAACTTTTTTAGGGACGCCTATTAAATTTTATTGCTAGGCGTTTTTATACATGTTCAATTGACTTCGGAAAGACTATACAGCTGCGGATAATAAAAGATTTCTAATTTAAAAACACAAACAAAACTAAACCCTGTTTTATAATGGATGGTAAGCAATTTAGGTAAAAACCATAGAAAATAATTAAATTTTGAAAATGGTGTTAAATTTTCAATGGTTGCACTCAAATATAGGATAAAAAATATAAACATTCGTTTTTCGTTTTTTTTCTCATAAACACTTATAAAAAGCTCTTTGTTGTAAGACATATTTGGCTATATTTAGTCTTTTTTTATATTTTCAACTGTTTTCAAGGCATTAATAGTTGAAAATGACTTTATAGAAAATTTTCTTGGCATATAAAAATGTAATAATTACTTTGTCACCATGAGATGATAAACATAATAATAGTGTTAAATTTAATTGCTTTTTTATTCCAAACAGTTTGGCAGATATGTTGAAACAATAACTTTAAAAGGCTGTAATACCTTTAGGAGACACTGCTCCCTTTTCGAGGCACTCTGTATATTCTATATTTGAGTGATAACCACTGAAAATTTAACACCATTTTCAGAATTTAATTAAATTCATTTCGTTGGTTTAAAAAAAGCATTGGTTTGTATAAATCGATCGATAAAGCTAAATTTGTTGCACTATCTGAAAGTGAAAATGGAAGAAAACATCATAAAAAAATTGTGAAGTACAGGTAAAGCAGTTATAAAAGATAAAACATTACAAAATGATTAACGATTTTCTTTTTATTTCAAGTGTACGCCATTTTTTGAACATTGATATGAAATGTGAAATAAATACATGAAAATGTAAAAAGCTAAACTAAATTTAGTGGAATACAATAACGTGTTGTATATGTTAAATGGGAAATAAAATATAAAATAAATTGAGAACATATCTTAGAACCTTGTATCATTTTCCTCATCTGCTACATTTGGTTTATCAAGAGTTTCTAATAGATCTTGAAATTTCTGTTGCTGTTCTATTTTAAGTTTCTTCATACATATCACGTTATAAATTTCCTTTCTTATGTATTTGTTTAACACAAAAATTGTTATTACGTAAACTCCCTGCAAGGCTTCAATTAAGTGAATTGCAAGGAGAGCAGTAGTAGTCTCTACTAGCATATTTGCTGCTATTTCTATTAACCATATGAATGTTGTTACCCAAACTAGGAAGTATGACCTCAACCTGCAACAGAAGTTTTTATTAAGAACATCTTTTGTTAAAATTTTTAATAATATTCAAACAGAGATAATTAGAAACGAAATATTTAATACATTTTATTTTTTCCATTAAGCACCTTGTATATTTAAAAAATTCACGTTAATCAACGGTTGGACTATGGGAATTGCACGATCCTTGATGTGTATGTTCTAAGCTAGGTAGTTGATTCATGATTGGAATATGGAAATATTACTTACTGAAATTTAAATTGGCTCTTGTTCTGTATCCAGGAAAAATCTGCAGGGTCATCGTTTTTATTTATAGTATAACAAGTGTAACCTAGAGCAATTGCTGATAGTAACATTAGTAAACTAATGGGGATTAGAAACGTTTCGTTGTTAGCTCCTAAAATATATTGAGAACGAGTTAAAATGTTTAATATGACGCACACAAAAAAGTTTACAGGTTCAATATACATTTAATTGGTGTTGCATTAACATTTAAATTTTAGTCTGATTCTTAAACAAAATTTTATAAGAATCAAATCCTAAGAGTAGAAAATTATATCATTTTGAAGTAATGTGAAATGATTAGATATGACTATGCAATTTGTAAAAATATTTAAACATTAAATTAGTCAGGATTTAAAAAATTAAGGGTTTTATCTGGTTATTTTAAAGTTATACAACTTCACTTGAAAGCAGTGATAAAGAAAATAGACCAATTTTGAGTTAGTCAGTCATCCTTCATTGTCATCATCGTCATTATCATCGCCATCGTTATCGTCGTCGTTATCATCGTCATCGTCTTCTCCATTGTCATCGTCTTCATTGTAACTATCGTCGTCGTCGTCTTCGCCGCAATTGGCGTTATCATAATCGCCATTGACTTCGAAATTACCATCAGCGCTACCACCACCACCACCATAACGCCGCCGCCGCTATCTAAGTTTAGTGGTCGATTGGTAGTTTCAATTACATGAAATATTTAGACATTGTATCTACACTTTAATTGTACGTGTAATGTTGTTTTCTTCAGGTATATTTATAATCCAGAATTGGAATTAAGAAGTGTTTAAATTACCTACTTACCTTTAAAACGACAATAGTTAGGTCCAGAGTAATCCTTAACAAATGACTGTGGTACATCAAGGGTTCCATCTGGTATAATAGAAGCCCCTAAGATTAAAAGAGGGATGGCCAAAGAAATGGATAGATACACATAAAATCTTGAGGTATCTTCTGGTACACTCTTGGGTGTTCTGAAAATTTAACATTCTTATATTGATAAAGTTGCTACAAGCATTTAAAATCTACTACATTTTCCAACCAAAATTATCACACCTGTCTCTAATTGATTTAAAATCTTAAAATTTATCCATAACGACACTATGTAGATATTCCAGTCTGCGACTAAACTCTTGTTATGCTGCTACTATTAAATTTAAATTAAATTGAACCTGGTGCAAACAGGGGTTATAAGTTATTCAGGAGAGGCAAACAAACCTGCGATTTTGGAAGAGTTATGGTAGACAAAACACTTGGAAATTCAAACGAAATATGAAACATTTACTAAATACGTTGAATATATTGTTATTTAAAGTTACAAGATACTAGAATTGTTCACATTCATTTGAGTTCTACAGAATATGTAATTTGAAATCACTTTTAAAAATTGCCATTGAAAAGTGATTCTAATTTTGATCCTGACACATCAAATAGGTATAATACTCAAGAATAATTATAAATGAGTTCGTAATAAATGCAAAACGTATTGAAAATATCAATAATCATCATCAATGGTGAGTACCTATTAAAAAAAAACTTCCCTCAAATTATATTTACATATTTAATACTTACTTAACCAGAAATATTAGGTCTACACATAAACAGGCAAACCATACGTATGAACTCAGCAGAGACAACATAAAAAATGCACCTGCAACAAAATCCACTGTAGACATATTTTCTGCTATAAATAAAATTTTGTTAAATTATATTTTTACATAAACATCTTTATTTATAATTAGAAGCAACTGCAATATGAATAGTAACTTATTGATTCTACATAAAATAAAGAAGTAAAGACATTTTTGATTTAAGACTGGCGTTCTATAGATAAAAAAATCGCACTTTTAGTAAAACAATGATGGAACAAGTAGATCCACCCAGTAAGTGACGAAATGTAACGCTAAACTAAAGCAACTTCCTTTAATATTTCTCATTGAAAGATCACGGAGATCATGTAAACATCAGAAATATACTTTTTCTGTTTTGTCTGGCTTTGTAAAGACTCAATAAGCATTCTGCTGGTGTGATTATGTTTATAGTACTGTAGATTTTCTATATACTCAATAGGCGTGCAAAATTTAGGAAACGTAAGATAAACATGCCTGGTAAAATTTTTGCTTTTTTTATCTTTATTTTGAATGTATTGTCAATTGTCTTATATCCCGAAGAAAACTTACATAACTGGTATAGTGAAGCGATATTGTTTCCTACTTGCTTAGATTTTCTAAATTACTAGACAAAAAATTGCGCCTAGAGATAAGCAATGGTGTAACGATAAACAAAATAATTTTGGAGGTTGGTTTCTTTATTGTTAAATTGCTAGCGAAATAATAAAATCATTTGTTTACTGCATAAGCAACTCGTTATTAAATAATTTTTGTTATATATGATTTTCCCTCATAAATATTATAAAATTTAAAATTCCAAAGTAACATTTTTACTTACCTAAGCTATCACAAGCGGGACTCTTCTCCTGGAGACATGCAAGAGTAAAGAATGCAATTATCATGGAAACTGAATATCCCATAAAGCATCTCCTGTGCACATTTTTTTCTTTTATAACAAAAATATACACCAAAGTAGTTATAATGAAACAAATTGTTGAAATAATTAAAACTGAAAAAAATAACATCGAATAAACGAATAAACTAATAGTTGATGATCAAGGGGAATATGGAAAGGTTAAATGCACGCATAGTTATGGTATTTTTGTGACAACCTTTTTGCAGAAGTTTGGCGTTACATGGTTACAGAAAAATTCGGCAATAAATTATCCTCACGGTATATTTGTAACAAGAGAAAGACCGTAACATTTTCCGTCTTGATTTTTTATGAAAGACGAAATGCTAAGTTAGTGCAGGTAAAATTGAAACACGTTAGTTTTAATTTTTTTTAGTAAAGTGAAACAGCTGTAAAGGAAATTAATGCTTATCCGAACCGTTCTTGGCATGTTATTTTTGGATAGCTATTTTCTTCCTTGTCTTTGTCTCTTGTTGCTTGAGAAGGAAACATTTCTTGCGGCTCCGATGACAATTTTTCAAAAAATTAAGATTCTTTTTCTGTTACTTACGAGTGAGGACAGTTTCATGGGAGTCGCCTTGTTTAATTTACTTTAAATAAAACAGATAATATCCAACAAATGAATAGATTCATTTCGATAAAATACAATGTACTTACAGGGCTTATACCACATCGGCTTCAAACCATACCACACGCAGACGTGAACAACTTGTTGTTCTCCATCATATGCAATACAAAATGATCCATGAGAAAAAGTTCCTGGTTCATTTAAAAGATATAGAGTACTGTTATACACAAGTCCATATGTATCATTCAGTGAAAGTCTAAAACAATAGTATATTGTTATATTAGGATTAGAAGTATAACTTTTGTGGCGAGCAAATTTTGTGCGAGACAAACAAGACAGTTTTAATTGGAATAAAACATCTTCAATCGAAATCCCCCATTTAAATATTAATTTGTGCTTTGAAATTATTCAAACCAAATTTGGATAACAATGCAAAGTAGATAAGTAGGATATATCAATGTACTCATGGATGATACTTTGTCAAACTTTAATCACCATATTGCTAATTGAGTTCATTTGTGATCGTTTGTGGTTCAGTATGCTGAAAATTCTGTAAAAATGGAATCTAACGAAGATTTAGGTGTACCTGAGGAGATACTGGAGTGTGCGAAAGAAGGTTCTTTGAATCTTCTCCAAAGAAATCTCCAGAAATTTGTGAATGTGTCTACCATAGATCTAATATAACCTATGAGGTCTACCAACATTTGATGGATTGGTGCAAAGAAACATACATTAAGTTGTGTTCAGAAGATGTATTGATAGCGTATTTCTCAAACTTGGCAAATAAAATGAAACCGTCAACGCTTTGGCCACAATATTCAATGTTGCGGCCAACGTTTATAGAAGGGGATTGATATAAGCAAATATTCAAAGTTACAAGCTGCCTCGAGAGATAAAATGAGGGATATGCTCCGAAAAAATCGCGAGTATTTACAAAGGAGTAAGTCGATTGTTTTTTTATTACAGCACCTGATAATTTATATTGGAGGTTGCAGGCGCATTAGTCAATTTAACAATTGATAATGTCGAAGATCCGCCTTAATTATAAAAATTCCCAATACCAAAACCAAGAGATCACGTTATTTTACTGTGCTGTTACTATTATCGAAAATATGTTGCTTTACATCCACCCGGATTGGTATAACGTCGATTTATTTCTCAGATATGTTAGTGGAAAGTGCCATCGAATGGTTTTACAATTTTGACGGAAAAATTATGATAAAATTATAATGATGACATTGTATTTTATACTAAATGTCAATAATTGTTCAATAACTATTAAGAACTTACGGAATATAACCAGGTTCTGTACATTCCAGCGTATATTTGTAAGGAACGATTTCGACATTTTCCAAGACTGATTCGTAATCTACAAATGTTTCATTGCTCTCGAATACCGATAAGTTAAATGGCAGATCTGCTGGCACCTTAGTACAAGTTCCACCTTCATTGTAAATTTCATTCACCTCACAGCAGAAGGGTGCTCGGTATATTGTTTTTCCATCTTCCTGTTTACATAAAATTTACTGCATTATTACACTTTGACATGTGGCGTGAATGGGATTATTTGAGGATAAGCTCAGATCCAAGTAATGTACAGAATATTAAAAGCAGGAAAATCAATAGTTTTATGTACAGCCCCACAAAAAAAAATATGTGCATCGGACTACACTACTATATCCTTATGTTTTCCGTCTGACCGTGTCAGGTCAGGTTAAAGGTCATTTTAAGGTTAAACCAAAAAAAATCCCCTACGGTGGAGGCAACCATGGTTATTATTCTCGGTTTGACTTTGAAATGATCTTTATCGTGACCTGACAAGGTCACGCGGACCTCGGATTCAGATTCAGCGATCTCGAAAACATAAAGATATAGTGATCCAGTCCGATGCACATAATTTTTTTTATGGGGCTGTGTAATTAAGGATACATTGGTTATGATTTGTTAACTTAATCAAAAATGTTGAAATTATCGAATTATTTACAAACAACAGGTTAGATCCTTTTTGTTTGTGTTACAAAACCAAGCAAATGTATTTATTTATTTTGCTTTAGTGTTAGTTGGTATGTTCTGATCATACTCACAGTTCTGTTATGATATCCTAAGGCATCTGGTATTTTTCTCCTAACCGTAGGGTTTTTATAGAGCATAACATGCCCTAAACTTATTTTCCTCTCGATAGACCACACGGAAATGTAGTCTATTTTATCTGCACTTAAATTTTCCGGCAACTGCAAGTAAATATTTCGCCCTTGATAGCTCTTCAAAGGACTGTTTGAGTTATTTTCATCTGGAACTAATACACCACTTGGTGATGGTTCTCCTGCTCCTGCCCAAAAATACGTATCTTGGTCTTCGGGGTCGTAATTTAAATTTGGAATAAATATGTTTTTTTTATCAATGACCAGAAGAGGTCCAGATTTGACGCTATCAGTAAATCCATCTGTTTCATAAACGTTGTGTCTTGCATCCTAAAATTCAATAGTATTAAAGATATCAGCATAATTTAACATAGATTAGTTGGAAATAATTTTTTGAAAGGTCATTCGGTATTTGTACCATCCTTAGAATTCAAAACATTGATACAAAATTAGCAACCTTTATAAAATCTGGATAATTATTCCCATCGCGTTTACTAATTGTCACATTTTTCTCAAAATGATTTGACTGCTCCATGTCAGTCATCGGAGGTTCAATATTATCTGACTGATCCATTAAAACAGCATGATGCGACGTACTTACTACTAGTTGAAGTGTCATTGTAAAGAATCCTGTTGGCTATTTAATTTTTGTTACTTAAACTGTCAGCAACATAACTTTCTGCAGTTGTGGCTGATTTCCACCCACCATGTTTCTTGATTGCTAATACATCAACTCCTGTATTAGCCTGTAACGTTGCTGATGTTCTTCGGAATGAATGGCCTGTATATGTTTCAGGATGTTCTAGTTTCAAAAACTGTGCAATCTTATTAGGAATCACAGAAAGGGTATTTTTGCCGACTATAGTTATAACATCTACCTGTTTGAAATTTATTTCAATTTTAGTTTCTAATCTAATTGAAATTGACGTCCAAAGTAAGTTTGCATAACTATTCGGAATGGCATGCTCCTGCAATGCCTAAGACCGTCACTACTTTCATTAGCAAATATGTGTTATCGGGTGCCTGAACGAGAAAATCGTTGACTTGTTCTCCTGTAAAAACGTTTGACTTTTTAGGTGTATAGCCGTCATTCTTACGTTTCTAAAATGCTCTCAGCTTGGGATATTTTTATATATCCACGTTCTCCTCTATGAAAATAGTTGACTTAATCATTGTCACTCCACATACTCGCCGGTGACTTTAAAGTTCTTGACTTCTCCATGATATATGCTAGCAGTGACATTTCAGAAACACCAGTATTTTTGTTCTTTGAAATTTCTATATGCTCGTCCGTAGCGCACTTTCGACTTCTCGGGCAATAAAAATTTGCAGGCAGCATTTGCTGCACTTTCTATTTGAAAATCACTCATTTAGAAATAATTCAAAACCAGCAAAATTGCAATTTTTATGTAGCTTAGAAACGACAAAATCGAAACAACTAAGGTGACTTTGCAGGATTTCGAATATCAATGTTAAAAAATAAATCTTAATCTTTATTTCATGAACCATAAAGAACTGTGGGAACAGATAAAGTGTTATACACCACGCAGAAGGTAAGTATAATTGACCAGTCTCGGACTCTTATTGTCAGCCCTCGCTCCGCTCGGGCGCAAAATCGTCCTCGACTGGTAAATAATACTTATCTCCTTTATGGTGTAAATAACTATATCAAATAATTACATTGGTGTTGTAGCTTTGATTTTTTCATCTATTATCAGAAAAGGAAGTATACTGTGCATAAATAATTCACACCACAGCCAAAATCTCTCCAATCATTCTAAGATTACCACATCCAGAATCCTAATTTAGATGTGTCGTTACATTCAGGGGAAAAAATAACAAAAATAGTATTTACTTCAAAAGAAAAATTTCAAAGTTTGTAAGCTTTATGTCTCAAGCATAAAATAATTGCAATACTGACAAGTTCACAAGTAGCGATATTTAAATCACGTTTCTCTTAGACCAATTTACGTCATAGAGGTGTACCACATATCCTGGATGTAGTCGTGGCTCTTGAATTATTGAATTATTTAATTTGAATTTAGGTTAAAAAAAATTAAATAATTATTTTAAGTACTATTGAAATACAAGCAAAATGTACTCAACACTATTTTTAATAGTGAATTCTGCTTTTGTCCGAAATAAACTTTTCAATTACTTTTTCGTTAAAGTTTGGTATTTCTCGCGCCATTGATTTTTACAAGTGTTTCAATAAATTTAAACTTTTACAATTGTTTAAAAAAACACAAGAAACAATGTAAGTAACAAAATTTTACACCTTACCTGAACAAATTACGTTTATTAAGAAAAAAAAAACGGTGAATAGTTATTATTTGGTTAAAGTCGGTCTAAACCATCTTTCATTGCTGCGCCACGGTAACCATAACCACCGCTGTAAACACTTTATAGATGTAGAGGCGAGCTACGAGGAACTCACGTATTCAGAGTATTGCAAACGAATATTGCAAGTCGAATTCAATTTAATTTATTTAATTATGTAGATAACATTGTGAATTGACAAATTTGAATATTAGTGACGTACAAGACGTTGGCAGTTACCTACTTGTTTTAATACCTGACACCAAGACGGGCATTTTAAGAAAATTTACAATTATAGAAGATTTTGCGTGAATGCTCTTGAAAAAATGTATGTACTTTTCAACCTGTTAGAATCAAGACATTCGCGAAGGTACCCTCAGTAGTTGCTTCATTCCTGAATATCGCAAATCCAGAAGCATATACTGACCATTGTATGAGACGCACTTCAACAACTTTATTGTCCAATAAAGGTGCTGATCTTACAACCATCACGGCATGGTGGATGGAAGAGCTCCTCTGTATCAGAAAGTTGTGTTGAGGTGTCTATATCTAACAAACTTGATATTGCAAGGAAAATATAGCTGTTCTTTACAAGAAGAGACATCCGTAACTTGAGCAAATTCTTCACAAACTTCGGCAGATGTTATGCGTTCCGAAAATGATGGCAACAATGATACAAGGCTAAAGTTTTGTTTTCTTTATGAGAAAAAACATGTGCCCATGTTAATGATATCTTTAAATAACATTTACTGGAATTCCTTTAATTTTTCGCGGTGAAAGATCAACAAGTCCAAAATTAAGAAAAATTAGTTGATATTAAAAATTAGTTCACAAAGGTGATCTACAACTAATCCTTGATAATTTTGGAGCAAAAGTTAACTATTATAGGTACTCTTTTATAATCCTAGTAGGTAAATCGGGCTTTGCAGATCCACACTTTTTTTAACAAAAGTCTACATGTCCATATCATTTTTTTAAGATAAAACCCAAATTAAGATTATAATGTTGATAATATTTCATTCCCATATTCTTACTATGAAAAATGTGCCGTATCTATATAATTTCGCTACAGACGCTTAGGTACCTATACTTCGGAAAAAATTTGTATAACTGGTACAATGAAGAGATATTGTTTCTAACGCGCACATATTTTCTAGAACCCTCCTCAAAAGAGTGCTATAAATTCACTGAACATAAAATCGCCCCCCTTAAAAAAGAACCAATGTGAAAATTGCCCATATCTATGAACGAACAATATAATTGTACCCTACGTATTCACACTCATTCTGTCATGATTCAATAATAACTTGTGTTACACATACCTTGTTTCTTGAAATCTCTGAAAGCGATATATTTGTATTATTTTCCTGTCCGTCTATATTCGTGATATACAAACATAATATAACGATGTAAAAGTTTACAGAACGTTGAAACATGTTTGTATAACTCTTTCTTCGATCACTCACAAACAAATGATTCTATGCGTTTAAAATTACTTTTAAGTAATCGAGTTATTGCCACTTTTTGGATGTTGATAGCGGCTTTAGCCGTGATAAGTGTTACGCGCGGATATCCAAGGAATGCTTGACTTTGCGGTATAGTCATTTGACGCAGAGGTGATTCACATTCGTGGTAGTGATTGTTACTTTTATTAAAATGCAGGGTTAATTTAATGTGCCATATGGGTAGAAACCAGTAAATACCTGGTACGTACGTGTAGTCTTATACTAGCAGCAGCGAAACTTGGAAAATTTTCAGCAAACTGTAGCAACATTCATAGTGCAGAATTCGAAAAACTTGTATTTTGTATTGGTATAATTTTTTTATTTTGATTTATTTTATGTTTTAACGTTATGTTTTGGGCGCCTTTATGATATTTATAATTTTCTTGTTATGATTTGAATATTTCAGTATTTTAAATATTTGATTATATAGAGCAAACTCAATTTCAGGGTAAGGGTTCCAAATTTTTTTATATTTATTTATTTACCTTTTATGTTATTTATTTGCTTATGTTGAGTTGAAATGAGATATTTTAAAATTTGAGGATTATCGATATATTACACTTTTGATTTGTAGTTGGAGTTTTATAATTGACAATCGTCGTACTAACTTTAAATAGATGTCCCATGAAATTTCCCCCATTAAATCTATCATTACAGTGCTAAGATATGTTTTTTATACTGCAAACGTGTCAGTGTTTCAAAAATTAAATTTTGTTTTCTTGTCATATGCATGTGGACGAAAATTTTTTTCGAATTATTATTCGATTCGAATTCAAAGTTTGTAAATTTAATTGGCCAAATGTATACAACTTACTAACGCGTTGTCTTGTAACGTTGGTTGTATCTCCTTTCTGGAATTTCTATGGTTTCCTTGGGTGGAATGCCCGGAAACTCGTTCTGGACGTAATCTACCGGGATAATTCAAGTCGACGATGAACTTCTTCTTTTTTTCTTTATCCTTCTTAATAAATTTTCACTTTATTCACTTTTTATTGAATTTGTAACCAGTTCAAATTTGGCGTTGCACTTTTATTTACTGCTTGTTATCGATAAGTCAGTCTCATTTAATCTATTCTTATAGCTTGCAAAATCCGCCTAAAAATCAGCTATTTGATCTATTATTATTTTCCTCACAACACTCTAACAACTTATTTGAGTATCTTGGAATTCCTACGTATTTTCGAATGTATTTCGCGCGTTATTAGAAATATTGATTTTCCCCTTCACCATGGGCTAAACCGTTGATACCAGATGCTCAACACATGGCTCCGACGGTCTGTCAACTTGTTCAAAAACATTGCTAAATTTCATGAGGCCTCCTCCGAAGGACGGCTTTGGAAATTTATTACTCCCGGTGACAAAAGGCACTAGTCTTTTATGGAGACGCTAAACCTACTTGAAAACTCGTAACTTTTCAATAATTAGTGTTGACTGAAATATTTTACTGTTTGAGTTCCGTTGCGAGAATTAACAAATGAACTACTAGCGGCCCGGCTTTTGTTACACATCTATTCCCAAATTTTTTTGAATAAGTTGTGGATCACCATGTATAAATATTTTTTAATTTACTCTCAAAGAATATGGCACAAATACTGCTCACAAAATACCTAAATTAGTAAACAATTTACAGTGTAATTCAAAAAACAATCCACCAAGTAGTTAAAACAAAAACAAATTTATAAAACCAGATTAAACCTTAGTTTTATTAAAAAGAACTAAACAATATTTGAGGATGACCGAAATTAATTAATAAAAACCTACCTTACTTTGGGAATTCTAGGCTTTAAAAAGGAGGTATTAGGGAAACATTTCTTTAAAATTCATTAGAACAGCTAGTTTAATTTATATTACAAAAATGTTATTATTAATATGTGGTATAAACAAATACTGAATTGTTATGTACATAAAAACTATATTTTCAGTGTATTTCATTTATATAAAAATAATACAAAAATCTAATTTAATAAATATATTAGTACAACCAGTCTTAATACTACCATTAATAATAATAATAATATTGCAAGGAAAATATAGCTGTTCTTTACAAGAAAAGACATCCGTAACTTGTGCAAATTTTTCACAAACTTCGNTAATAATAATAATAATAATAATAATAATAATACGTATAAACTAACTAAACAGTTCTAGGATTAATATGTAATTATTATTCTTTTAAAGTAGTGAACAGAATTCTTAAATATATACAAAAAATTGAAATACTATAACATATTCTTTATATGAATGATCATACTTGTGAATATTTAATCTCTAATCTAGGTACGTTGAAGTTAAATGTAGACACCTATAGTTAAAAATACTACAGCACGTACATCTATATAAAATGTAAAGTGAAGTTTTATAAATAGCGAATGTGATGACATTTTTCTAACAATAAAAATAAATAAAAGTGAAAATAGCTACATAGCTCGAAATATATTTTGGTGATTAAGTACTTTAACGTTCGATTGCGCAAAGATACTCCATAGACGAGTTTGTATTTTCAAAATATGTTAATTATTTACATAAAATATTATTTATCTGCCATCCTTTTATTTTCATTTGTAGAATTTTGATTACCGAAATCGTTTAGCACATCGTCATACATTGATTGCATCTCTTTTTCATTTTGCTTTTTATATATGACCCTTTTAATTTCTTTCCTTGTATATTTATTTAGCACGAATATTATTGTTACAAAAGTCCCCTGTAAGGCTTCAATTAAATCAATTGCGTATTGAATTGCAGTCCCCATTATTATAACGTTTGCCAGTGCTTCTATTAACCAGATGAATGTTGTTATCCAGACCAAGAAGCACGATCTCAACCTGCAAAAGAAGTTTTCGTTTAACTGATTAAGTATCGCTAATAAAGTTCTAGTTTGCACTGTCTGAGGGTGATGACAAACTGAAATAAAGCAAAATAACACAACGATAGTTATGAACAGCAATCATCTACCTAATTAATTATGGCACTAACTGTTAGAATTATATAACTCTAGTAAAAATTCTACTTAACAATTGATATGTGTAGGGAATGCCAATAGTTGAAAAAATTACGATATCCTATGTTTAAAATTCAGTTCTGGTCATACTGTAAGAAATTGGGAAGTAAAATCATTCCCGTAAACAATATTAGATTTTTTTCACATTCATACCATGAGAATTCATCTTTCCATCATATGAAACAAAAAATTCTAGAGAGTCAAGTACTTTTAATGTTCTGGCAAGGAAACATTATCATTATGTCAATTAACCATCTTGTAAAATTTTCCTAGAAGGCTATGTCGTCTACGAAACCTACAAATATTTTTTTATCCATATTTGGCGGTGAAAAGTAAAGAGTTTGTTGGCAAACGCTGAATATTATGAGTGGGGCTATAACTCGGCTCTCTCATTACGAACATAAGAAACAATTTAGTAATTACTTGACCAATGCGTTCTTTCATACTTTCAAATTAGTGTTATCAGATACCAAATAAAGTGCAAAATAATAAATTAATTGATAAAGAAAGTGAGTGCGTACCAGGTATGTTACAAAGAAGATTTATGCCGAAGAATAGAAGACAAACAGTTTCTGGAGACGCTCGTTATAATATTACTAAATGAATTCTGCTTGCTTTTTACGTAGATAGGTAGGATAGCTGCAATTGAAGAAAACGGAGAACATAATCCATTGATTTTAAATATTAATAGTAAAAAAATAAACAGTAGGTACACATTATAAACGACACAAACATCCATTATGGTGGAAATTACCTCTTATTCCTGAAACAGATCCTTGCCCTGATGCAATGGTTTCATTTCATTGCCGTTTTGTTGATTTAAACTATTTTTACATTTCCTCTTTTCTATTACTTTGCTACTGTAGTTATGACCAAAAATTATGAGAACAACCAAGATTCCTTGCATATACTGAATCAAGACTAGGGAAAGTAAAAACCCATCTTTTTCGTCGACTTGTAACAAATTTAATACTAACCATGCAACGAAACTGAGAGTCATAATAATGCATATCAGTATGCACTGTATTAACCTGGAAAATTACGGTTTTAAAATATAACAAATGCTGGCTTTTCAAATGATTTACTAGATATATTTCCAATAATTAAGTTGTTCATATGTGGACACAAGGAAACCTTTTGTTTTTTAGTTTGGTTGTGGGTAAAACACATTCCTCAAGTGAATTTTAAACTCTATATACGAAAAGCTTTGTTCCTAACATATTTGGTACCCTATCTTCTATCAATTTAATCAAACAATGAATCTTTATAGAGAAACATTACCTCTATATACTTAAATCTGTTTTCAATGATGTTAAATGGAAATCCTATCGTTTTACAGTAATAAATTCGCGTTTTAATTGCAGAGCAATTAAAAAATGCTTAAATAAATAAAACATCTCTACATCAATACCGTTTTGTACTAACAATTTCTAAATAAATCTAGTAAATCAGTTGTAGCCTTTTGTATTTTTAGCAATTACTCCAAATGGAAACAGAAGTGAACATCTACAAAAAAGCAATACAGAAAACACTACTAAAGAACTGTTACTAGCCCTGGTCCCACACAGCTAAGCAAAACAGTGTATGTACTACTATACTGCATACAAAAACGTTTTGTAAAGATACAACTAAACTAAAGCTCTTTCAAACCAAAATAAAACAACTAAATATGCCTCAGTACAAATATGGTTATTTAAAAAGTTACTATGTATTTTAGCGACATGTAAGGTTTCAAAAAACAACTGCGTTCTCTCAAAATTTGTACCAACTAAAAGATACAGCAAAAAGAATAGTTATTCTCGGCAACTTCAATGTTTTAGATAAGAAGCAAACATATCCGCATTGACTATCACAAATACTCTGTGCTAAGTTTGATTGAAATATATTCAAAAAATAATAAAAAATAATGAGGTAAATTCCGTTAATTGCTTTGCCTTCATATAAGGAAGCTTTGATTAAATTGTTTACATTCACCAATGACTCTCCAAGCAGTGTGTGGAAATGGAATTAAAAAAGTGTTCAATATAGAAAATTTGAATGTTCGCGCATTTGATAAGATAAATTTTATGAAGTAGGAATTATGTGAACTGAAAAAAACGTTTCATTTTTCTGAAAATTAACTAGACGTTAGAGACAGAAGACATGCTAATGTAACTCACATTTTCCATTAAGCTCCATAGCTTAGTGGAAAATGTGAGTTACATGAGTATGTTCTGTCTCTTAACTTAACATGTACTATTTCCCATAGTTCATGTAAGGGTACGATGAATCTATCGTTTTTATATTCTAAGAAAACACAACAGCAACATCAACTATTTTTTTCAAACAGAACAGGTTTTACGTAAGAGAAGCACACCTAAGCTAGATTTAATATTGCTACTTACATGAACTTAAAACGGCTCTTGTTATGCAACCATTCGTAGTCTTTCCGGTCGTCATGGGTATTTATGATGTAGGAGGTGTAGCACAGACCAACTACAGATGCCAATATTAGTAAACCAATGGGAATGAAGAACACCCCTATCTTCACTTCTGTCAAAATATTTGAATAATATACATTATAGTAATGAGTAGAACAATGGTCATATTTTAGACATTTTCAAGGACTAAAATTCATCTAGATTATAGTCTTAGTGGTTAAAGCGAATTGACTATGTTTAAAAAATGTTAATATAGTGGTTTATATTGCTTACCTCCAAAGTTACAAGTGTCAGCTCCTGAATAACTCTTAACGAATGATAATGGTATATCAGGTATTCCATCTGGTATAAGGGAAACTGTTAAAACTACAACAGGAACTAGCAATGAAACAGCCATGTAGACATAAATTCTTGTGTCATCTTGAGCACGACGACCCGTTGATCTAAAATTAAAAATAATATTAATATAAATATTAACAAATTATTTGAGTTGAATAAGACAAATTTTGTGAATATTGGACATTTTTATTGTGCTTAATTTTGTAACTGTTAAAACTAAACTGCAGATTTTCTCAAATTTTCGAATATCGATCCTTATGTATGCTATAATTTGCTTTTCTGCGTGTTTTGTATTGGTTATGATGTATTCTGCTACATACTAGAACAACTACTATTGCCTAGTTGATGCTCATTATTTGTAATATACTAACAAAAAATACAGACTAGCTACAAGTGGACAAATTTCAGTCCATGAAATGCGATAATTAAAAATAGAACGCAAAAAATGTTTAAAACCGTCGAAAACCGCATATAAAAGCAATTAGATTGTTTTTGGGTTATCTAAAATATACGCCTATAAAAATACATTTAATAATTTGGCATTGGCATAATGTATATATCTTTCCTTATACACTATAAGAACCAAAGTGATAATCAAGGCGGGCCTAGCGGCTCTAATAGCCGGTCAGCCCCCACAAAGTTTAGCTGGAGAACAACAAGGCAGGTAAAGGCTAAGGCTAAGTGAAAGGTAGTTCAACTAGCGGCGACAAGCCACAATATAACAACCATCATATTTTAAAATTTAATATTAAAATCCTTAAGATCATATGAAATACCCTTGTATATTTTTTGTACTTACTTAACAACATATATCAGATCTATACATAAACAGGCCAACCATACAAAGGAGCATATCATGGAAAACATAAATAATCCTCCTGCAATAAGAAAGAATCCAAAATAGAGTTTATATACAGGGTGTCCCATAATTAATGTGCAGTAGATTCTACGATCAAAAATAAGATTATTTTTTCCCATCAGGAGATCATATTTTTCAAAATATTTCCAAGACCAGTTAACGTATCATTATGAATTTTGGTATGTTGGACACTCAATGAATATTCTAACGAAGTACACGAAAACTGTTTAAAAACTTTAGTCAGGGGTGTCTCAAGCAGGGGGGCTCACGGGTAAAATGCGCCCCCAATTTTTTCGCCCCAAATATTTTCAAATTTAAACATTAAACAATGATAGATATGAGTTTTTCCCAAAAAAAAAAATGTACTCTGTCTGAGAACCAAAATTCATAGTGATACGTTAACTGGTTTTGAAAATGTTTTGAAAAATATGATCTCCTGAAGCCCCATTTAGGGGGTACGCAGCTCTCATAGGAAGAATTTTTCGACCCTTGTTTATAGGAAAAAATAATCTTATATTTGATCGTAGGATACACTGCTAAAGTATTGCATACTAATTATGGGACACCCTGTATAGTCTAAAATTATTATAGCCTTGTAAATTAATATAATCACATTATTGTTACTCGAAATAAGTACAAGCATAATTTGTTCAAAAATTTGCAAATGTATTTTTTACTTGTCTGCCTTTTTTATTTAATAGAATTTACATTTGTAACTACAAAATACTATAGAGATAAATCTTTCTATGTTACTTTATGAAAATAAACCTTAAAAGAAAGTAAAAAATTGGAACTGATTATTTTTCTTAAAGAATTTTAAATACGACTGCTGTATTTTTATCAATAAATATAATTTTTCAGCATCAATTGGATGACAACAACAATTAATTATAGTACAGGGTGTGCCATTAATACTCGCCAATTGAATATTTCTAAAATTAAAAGAAATGTTTATTTTGTAAAATATGTTGTGAATTACATTACCTACTTTTCATTCTTCAAAATTAATTTTGAATTATAAGAGCTTAAGAACTTCTTCATAATAAATTGCGGGCATAAAAATGATAATGAAACTTTATTTTTTCACTCACATTTGCGGAAGAAAGGCTTAGACGATACGAAAATGAGATGTTTCCTCTCCTAAATCAAAAATGTTCGTCTCGTAAGACAAGAATTACAATTAAAAAATGTGAGCCACTTTCCAAAGCTTCTGCCATAGAAATATTTCTTGGTTAACTACACCATATATGAAGTAATTCTTAAGAAATACACAATTATTTTACAGATTTTATGTCATTAGAGATAATAACCAAATAACTTACCCGTGAAATTACAAGCCCCGCTCATCTTTTGAAGGCATATTAGAGATATAAATGTAACTGTCATTGATATCGAGTATCCCACAAAACACTTCCTGTGGATATCTCTGGCTTTCAGAATGACAATATAAATCACAGCGGACGAGAAGAAACAAATCGTTGAAATGATTAAAACTGAAAATAACGTTTTTCTTAAGTTAGCTAAATTCATACTTAAAATATGTGAAATGAGTTAGTTCTTACTTAGTATACTTATATTGCTAATAATAGTTGTGCAAGAAAACACTTCATTTGAGACAATTCTGGACTAGCGCAAATTATTGATAATTTGAACTAAAGTTCAATTAATGCCTAATTTCAGCTTCATTGATTCAAGGCAATGAATGAATAAAATTCTCAAAAAATTTGTATAACTTTATCATTATGTAAAATATTTACAAGTAATAGATGTATAATTTTCCTTTTCTAAGAAAGTATAGTCAATGAATCGCAAAATTCAAATCTTGCATGAATTTAGGAAGACACTACATTTTCAGTTCTCAGAATGTCTTTTAATTCCAACACTGTTTAATCAAAGTTTGAATTAATAAAGGTGTGGAATTAGAATTTTACTCACATGGAAGATACAGATAACTGATACTAGCACCCTCTGTAACTGGAAGATCCGTGCATACAACAACTTTATGTTCGGTTACGTTGCGATACAGTATACAAAACGATCCGTGGTGTAAAGTTCCATAATCGTCCGGGGTGAAATAATATAAAAGACTACTGTTATATATGAAACCAAGCACTTCTTCTTTTTCCACTATTACCCTGAAAGATATCAAAACATGTACTTTAAAAGCAAGCGAAATTTACAACCTCTCCAATAAATTAAATTTTTTATCTGAACTTTTCACCTTCAGCAAACAGAATATTTTTAGAAGTTCAGTATCCTAACATTTGTAATAGGTAAAACATATATTTATTCTAAATGCAGAATACCGTGAATATAGTTACGCTTCGTTACTTCCTAGGTAGATCTACCTGCTCTATCATTGTCTTATTAAAAGAGCGATTTCTTGTCATTTAAATATTAATTAAACTTACCCAACAGAGTTCTTCCCACATTGTGCAAAATATCGGTAGGGTGCAAACTCCACATTGTCCAGAAGTCGCTCAGGATCTATATGTGTTTCGTTACTATCAAATACTGCCAAGTCAATTGTCAGATCCGTGTCCACTGATGTACAAGTTTTTGTTTCGGAAAGATAAATTTCGTTTAATCCACAGCAGGTGGGTATCCGATATATTGGTTTGTTGTCTTTCTATATAAAAAATACATAAGATTAAAATTTAATTTTTGTTATTCATTAAGTTAATCGCGTTTACTTGAATTTGTGCTATTATGTATTTATAGTATGAGTAACAGATGATCGACATGGTATTTCAAGTCACTATTAATTAAAATCTGCTTATTTCCGCAATCAATAAAGAATTTCGCATTGACATGTAATTACATTGCAAACGCAGTCCAATATTCTACACCAAAAAGATATTTTTGTGTGATTGTTAGGTACTAACCGTCATCTTATGGTATCCTAATGCTTCAGGTACATTATTCCTCGCCTCACTGTTATTCTTATAAAGTAAAATATGTCCTAGGTCAGTCTTCGCTTCTACAGACCACACAGCGACGTAGTCGATTTTATCATATGTCCATCTGTCCGGTAACTGCAAGTAAATATTCTGTCCTTCATAGGTCCTCAAAGGACTCGTCGTGTTATTTTCATCTGGAACTAATAAGCCGTTTGATGATGGTTCTCCCACTCCTGCCCAGAAATACGTATCGTTATCTTTGCTAATGTAATTTAAATTTGAAATAAATATATTCTTCTTGTCAATGATCAGGACAGGCCCAGATTTAACGTTGCTACTGTTGAAACCTTCTGTTTCATGGACGTTGGTTTTTATAACCTGTAAAAATTAAAAAGTAATATTATGTATATTAAACAACAAGTTTAGATTAGTAAAGTTTTACTAAACGCACATCGCTTTTGAGTACGAGTGAGGGCAGTGATCAAGTAACTTAAATTCATTTAAAAATAGTAATGGACCTTTTTGTTGTAGAATAAACCGCAATGTAAAAAAATATATTCATTTTGAAAAATTTCCGTTGGCGTAGAAATTATATTAAAAATAGGTGCAACCAGAACTCCTTACGGTCGCCTATGATTGATCTCTATTCACAATAATTTGCAAAATCTATAGAACATTTCATTCCTACACTACATACTAAATATAAAATGACTTTCATAGTGTAAGAAAAAGTAAATAAAAACCAACAAAATATTTTTTTTTCAAGATCTTATATCTCTAAAAGGAAGCCTTTAGAAGAAAAAGTATATACTTCAAGATAACATTATTTTGACACGATCTATCGATGGTTAATGTCCTAAAAGTGAATCACCCTGTATACTATGACAAATTCATATTTTTGTATCAAAGTATTTAACTATTTCATCTTCGCCCTTTCAACTTTGTTGCCATTGCATTTTATGGCATCGATATTAAAAGTGGTTCACTTTTGTCGTTAACAGTTTGCCGATGGTAAAAGTTTTAAGACGAATATTCATTATTTTAGTAACATTGTTTTTTTTTTTATATTATCACAGAAAATTTTATCTAGGTAACATACATTTTAACAACTTACAAAAGATTTTTTTTTCTATACTTAAATCAAATTTAAAACCCAAATACTATAATAACTATGATATTATTTTATTGTGTCTATCCTTTTTCAGTGGAATTAATTTACTCATAGGTTCTATTTATGCGAAGAACAGATTTGAAAACTATAAACCGCTTAAATTTTTCGTAATGAAAAAATAAAACCAGTTCATTAATTGGTCTCCATTCATTCGGTAGTTTGTTTACCTTGATCTGATTGCAAATTTCTCTCGAAGTGGTTATAAAGTAATCTCGCAAAAGAATTATACGTACTTTCATTCATGTTGCTTTTACATGTCGTTGATAATGAAAAGAGGCGTAAGCACCAAAACCGCTATTTGCGTTATTTCTCAGGAAAACAATGTGAAGAAACGTCATTACTAGCGAATTTTTTGTGGTATGAAGCGTAGTACTAATTATACCATTGTCGTGATTCAAAAAGAAACTTTGGTCAATTCCTTTTTGTCTCTTACGTCCATTTGCAAGATCAACTAGGTCAGGAAAAAGAGCTGGGAAATTACCATTTCGCGACTTTTTATTTCGGCAAGCTGAATTTATCACTATAGATGCTAAATATTATGTACAATAACATATTAGTTTCCACAGTCATAAAAATGGGGGGAAGATTGTTTACAGGGTGGTTAATTGTAGATTTTTTACGTAAATTCACGTTTTTTGCTTATAACTTTTTTCCGTTCATTTCCACGAGATAATAGTAAAGTACTTTTTTTTCGCCTTCAAAAGACCTACAAAACTAGCCCTCGAGCGTCAAAAAATATTGATTAGATCAAAAGTTATAAACAGAAGAATTTTATTTTTGACTTTTGAATTAAACATTTATAAACTGCTATTAGTTTATAAATTTTAATTCAAAAGCCTTAAATAAAATTCTCCTGTTTATATCTTCTGATCTAATCAATATTTTTTGAAGCTCGAAGGCTAGTTTTGTAGGTCTTTTGAATACGAAAAAAAGTACTTTACTGTTTTCTCGTGGAAATAAACGGAAAAAAGTTATAAGCGAAAAATTAAACAAATAACCAGTTTGTAAACTATCTTCCCCCATTTTTATGACTGGAAACTATAATGTTATTGTACAGCAATTGCGTTGTCTGTATACATTTTGCCTGACAAACCTCTACGAAAAAGAAAGTCTACATTATAATTGTTATAGTCGAAAAATTATTATTATTATTTTAATTATAATGGTACTACTACAACAATTATATGTAGACTTTCTTTTTCGAAGAGATTTGTCAGGCAAAATGTAGTATCTTCCACATTTCCTTGGATATAATCAATCTAAAATAACACCAACTGCTGGTTTTTTCAGTGCTGATAAATTACTTTCTAAGAAAACTGGAAAATATCCATTTTAATGATGCTTTAAGTTTATTGGTACAGAGACAAGAACAAATTACCATAGATACACTATTAAGTAGAATCTTTATTGTCCTGTAACACGTTTTTGTTAAAACGTTCGTATTTACATTTTATAAAGTACTGAGGATGATGGTTATAGTATACATAAATGTAATTAATGCATTTCAAACCGTTAAATTGTTTGCCTTGCTTTTACAATGTGCAATCTGTAATATGTAATAAAAATTAACCAACTTTAACAGAATGCAATGACTGATATATAAGAAAATATTGGGTTCATATAGAACAATGTAAACATGAACCGTATTTGTGACACATTTATTTATAGCATGATAAACGAAGAAGGTGAGTCACATAATAATTAATAATGCACTGGGGCCATTCAATATTTCGATCTAAATTGGTACAGAAGAATTATCGGAGGATTAAACAGTTGAAATTTAAGATAAACGGTTTATAAACGTACAGTATGTATCAGTCAAATGGAATAAATTCAATAAAAAATAAATGTGTGCGTGTTCGAAAAACGTTCGGGCACGTCGATAGGTATTTTTAGTTGCTCATTTTTTTCACCAAACACTTTTTATGCAAGATGTGTCGTGTGACAGTGTTCAATATCAACTTTCTTATTTTAAATGCAACACCCTGTATATTATTAAATTTTTGGATTCTTCAGAAAATTTTAGACATATTTTATGTACAATGTCCTATACCTATCTTCAACTATTTCGGAAATATTAAGTGTTTTGAGATTTCTTGCAAAAATTAACATTAAAAAAAGAAAATTATTTGATTGTACATGAAATATGTCTAGAATTTTCTGAAGAATACAAAAATTGAATAATATACAGGGTGTTGCGTTTAAAATAAGAAAGTTGGTATTGACCACTGTTACATGACACACCCTGTATAAAAAGTGTTTTTTGAAAAAAATGCGCAACTAAATATACCAATCGCCGTGTCCGAGCGTTTTTTCGAACACGCCCCCATTTATTTATTATTGAATTTATTTCATTTGGCTGACACACTGGCTAAGCATATCTAGGTATACGTATGGCAGCTTATAAAAATATAAAAAATTTATTTCTGAAAACAAACTGTTCTTAATTTTATTTCAAGCTAATTACAGGCTTTTTTTAAATACATTTAAGTTGGCTACTTGGCTTTTTTAAACACTTATTTAGGTACTTTAACTTGCAATGGAAATCAATTTAATTTCTTGCCATGAAAATAACACAATAAGCAGTGCGTGTGGTAGCGAAACAAAATACGAAAATAGACTGCATCAGAATTATAAAGGTCAGTCATCAATGGCGCCAAAAGTCGCGCTGTCAGTTATTAACCATACTTGTAGCCGAAACGTTAGAGTGTAGAACAAACAAAAACTGTTATACCAAAAACTGGCATTAAATATTCAGTTTTCAAGTTGTCCTTCTTAGAATCCGTGCGAATAGCTATATCATAACCATAACCATGCATGCACTAATGGAACGTAGCCAGAATTTATATAATGTAATTGAGAAACATGTCTTTCGGAGAAAATTTGTCGTACATATTCCAAGGTCGCCATTTGAAATGAAAAGATTAAAATAAGCAAACCCGTGTTAACTATGTAGTATTATTAAACATAAAAGAATTTGTATAAAAAATGTTCCATAGTGTGTATATCGTTTTAACATGTTATTTTGATTTTATTTTTATCCGTCCGTGTATGAAACATCAGTTAATATTTAGTAGGGTTTCTGATTTCTCGGCCTATTTTTTTTCTCGGGACTCGAGAATTCTCGACTAGGAATTCCCGGGAATTCTCGAATTCTCGAGAAATTTCTAAAACTTAAAAAAGTCATAATTTTGGTATTGCAATGCGAAATATAAACATGCTATTATACTTAACAATCATCATTAACATTTATTATTTATTCAGTATTTTTATTAATTACTTATGTTTCTACTTCTACTAACAAAACTAAATTAAACTTTGAGTTTCTTCTTAAAAACCTTTAACTTGTTTTTTTATTAAACACTTTCAATATACTTATGTTTATTTCAATGTTTTTGAATCGTAGTTTTCTTCCAATAATAATTATTAATAATCATTAATCATGCAGTCTTTTAATTAAATAAATAGTAAATAAGGAATTTAACCGAAGAAATCTTAAAAAAAAACAAGCTTTAATTTAAAGATACAGAAGCGTTCTTCATATTAATTTATCATTCAACATTAGGTATCTGTTTATAATACAATTTCTACACAGACTTATTAACTAGGTACAGGGTTGTTCACTATATTTTGACCCCTTTTAACTTTTTTGTTTTAAGAGTTATAAAAAAATACGAAATACAAAAGTTACACGATTTTTTATGAAATTTTCGAATATAATAGTAGAAAAACAAATGAAGTTCAAACAAAATGGCCGCGAATATTAACTTTGTTAATTTAAATGGAACACCCTGTATATTTTTATACATTTGGATAGAACGTTCCCTGTCGAGCACAGTCATATATGGTTTGTTGGGTTCATCTCTAGCAATAAGCGAGATAATATTAAAAAACGAAAAGAACGTTTTTTATTAAGAAAATAAAATATTTTGTAATTGTTGGACGTTTTTCGGGCATTTCTGCCTTTTTTCCAAGTACGTAATGATTTAGATTTATTTGCAATATATTTTGATATATCGAACACTGATATAGTCCAAAATGGGTATAAGTATTTTAACTAAATCGCACTAATTAGTCCGTGAGGGGCTTATTTACTCCTGGACAATGTTATATGGTAGGCCGTGACAGTGACAGGTAATATTATGACAACATTGTTATTGTTTGACAGTTTGTATTATTATTTATTTAAAATGGGTTACACAGAAGT